TTGAAAAAAAGTTAACTTTGTTGAATAAATTGTTTGATTTGATTGGACAAAAAAAAAAAAAAAAAACACTTTTGAATAAATTATTTCTTTTGACTTCCAAAAATAAAATTGCCTCTATTGAATAAATTATCTTCTTTAAGAGTACCTTCGAAAAAGAAAAAAAAAAAAATTTGTTTAGAACAAGAAAAAAAAATAGTAAAGGAAGTAAGAAGGATAAAATGGAAGAAACCTCCCTTGAACTATTGGGGTTTTGCAAGTAACCCTCTTGAACTACCAAAAAAAAAAACCCAAACTATGATTTTGTTGCAATTTACCCATCTGGTCACTGGAAAAGGACATAGTTTTGATATTTCGTCTCTTAAATTGTTAACGTGGCTAGTGAAATCCGATCAACCAATGGTAATGCGACACGTGGCATGATATATTCTTTATTTTTTATTTATTTATTTTTGCATCAAACAAAACAAGCTATTACACCCAACTCTTCCTTCCTCATTGACGACACCATAGCACTTAATATCTCTCCAACAAATATTTTAAACTTTTTTGGGTAAAATCCCAGCAACATCCCCTAGAGTAAGCTTACAGTGCATATCACATCCCTCATGTGCAAAAAACACTCATAAAGTTTCAATTTGGTACAAATAGATACCTCCAACAAATTTAAACCCTAAGTTGACTAAACTACCCTTATTGAACCATTTTATAAAATATATATAAATAAATAATTTTGTAAAATGACCGAAAAGACACTATTGGAGGATGCCCCTCTCGTGCAAAAAAACACTCCTAAAGTTTTAATCTGGTACAAATAGGTCTCTCTAACAAATTTAAACCCTAAGTTCACTAAATTACCCTTACTGAATCATATAAAAAAGATATAAAAATAAATAATTTTATAAAATGACCAAAAATGATGCTATTGGAGGATGCCAACAATGGACAAGTAAAGATAAAAATAAAAAAATATAAAAGAAAAGTAAAGATAAAAATAGAAAATAAAAAACAAAAATAAAGTGCAAACTAAAGAAAACAAAAAAATTTCAAACTCTGAAAACCAATGCACACTGATACTGCGATTTTTTTTTTCTTCTGTTTAACAGTGTTGGTACGGAAAAAATAAATAAAGAAAAAAAAAATTAGTAGAAAAGAGAAAACTGAAATCTCAAAAAAATTTAAATCCGACCTTGTTCTACAAATTCTCAAAGTTAAAAAAAAAATTGTTTAGAGATATATAGAGAGAAAAAAAGTTTATATATATATATATAAGGTAATGTCCACATAACACCCCTATATTATGAAATTAGTAGCATATACCCCTTTGGGTATTTTCGAAAGAGTGAAAACGCAAAATGGGTAGTACATCACTAATTTATGTTAGAGGGGGTATTTTTGCATAATGTGAAAAGATTCGGGATGTTTTGTACACACTTTTTCAAATGTGGGGTAAAAGTGCTACGCGAAATATACTTTAGGAGTGTTTTCTGCACTTGTCCCTATATATATATATATATGCATACACACACAGGAAAGAGGACGCATGATTCACATCGACCATCCTTCGGGGGCACATCGGTAATATGTTGAACGCCACCGACAATAGATTTTGCATCAACAAACATCAGACCAGATCATGCTCTCGATTTAGGTTCGCTGAAACAAGCAATTAGGTCTCAACTTGAACATCAATTAGGCGACAAGATCATACTCTCAATTTGGGTTCACCGAAACAAGCAATTGGGTCTCAAACTGAACACCAATTCGGTGACGAGACCATGCTCACAATTTGGGTTCACCGAAACAAACAATTACTGCTCAATCTGAACCATCAATTCGGCGACGAGTGTGAAGACAAAAAGAGGGTGTGTCACCGACTGAGTTAGGATTCCAATGAGAAGTGTGAAACTGTGAAGATGTCGACAGAGAGGAGTAGTGAGGATTCTGTTTGGGTTTCAAACCCTCTATTTCATTCGAACCCACTTGTTGCTGATTCAATTATTTCTCTCGCAAATGCTTCCTCTAGAAATCTTCAATTCTCCTAACAAGCGCGCGCGCACACACACACATATATATATATATACACACGCACATATAAAGGGAGGGAGAGAGAAAGGTTTGGTCAACAATAATTTTTTCCTTTCTTTTAGTCCGAAGAAAAAGATGAACAGTGTTTGTAACTATATATCCATATATATGAAATGATAAGGGTGTGTTCGGGTGTACCAGTAAACTAAGGATGTGTTTGGGTGTAACAATAAGATAAGGGTGTGTTTGGGTGTAATGGTCACAATAAGGGGTAATACAATCTTTTTATGCTTATAAGGGCATTATAGCAATTAAATATATATTATGTGATCACGTGACCGCACGTGATGATTTTAACGGCGACATTAAACCTGCCGGTCGGTAGATGGGGCTATCTACAACAAAAATGTATAGTTCAAGGGGTTTTTTGAAACTTTTGAATTTTAGGGGTTTGTTGCTGATTGACCAATAGTTCAGGGGTTATTTTACATTTTACCCAAAAAAAAAAAAAGTTAAAGTTGTATAAATGTTAGTTTTGGCATTATAAAATAAGGAATGACGGATTAATGAGTTTAGGGATCTTCTTAGCATTATAAAATAAGGAATCATACAATTTGAGTCTAGTTTAGAAAAAGATATTGGATTAGTTGTGCATTCCATATTATGAGTTGCAATACTTCAAAAAAAAAAAAAATCAAAACTGCCCACCATAAATTAATTTGTTAGATTTTTATTGATCCGGCCAACTCATATATACAACTAATTATATATCTACCCAATACAATTGGCTTGTTGACTTAACAGATTGAATTCAGTTCACCAAAATTCTACTCATTTATTAATAGGTTTAGTTCGGTATAGGTCTTGAAAATAGATCAATATGTGACGGATCAGAATTTCAATTTATACTTTCTGTTACCTTGTGTCATACTATGGTCTCAATGACTATTGGGATTGATGGAGTAAATGATAGAATAATTTTGAACTTTGGAGTAAGTGATAGAATAATTTTTAATTCACAAAGTTCATATAAAAGAATTTTAATCTATTATCAATCAATAATGAATAATTGTAGAATACTGCATCTACTACTTATATAGGCAATAAAAATTATAAAATCCTAAAAAAAGGCTCTAATTTGATATTATTTCTAAAAAAATTTAAATAGGGATAAGATCTAATGACTAAATTAAGATGATTGCCAAAAATCAAAACAATTTGAGTTTATTGAACAAAATTCTTAAAAATTCAACAGCCTTTATAGCACAACTCTAAACAATTGAAATTAAGAAGATTATGGATTGAGTTATTGGATTTAGTTTCATTTGATGGTAGTATTTTCTTCCGTCATTATTTCTTTTATTATTGCATATTGTATTCACTTGTTTATTACTAGATGTTTGATGTATTTTAATTTTTATGTATAAGTATGGTGAATTTATACATGGAAAATAGTGGTATCACACCTACTAGTATGATTCTTGGTCGCAGTATCGATCGCGGTAGCAGTATAACGGATTCGGATAAATATCGGTATAAACCAATCGATTCATGAAAGTGTGTAATGGTATTGGACCCTTGAAAAAGAATTACGAATCGGTCGATACGTGTATCAGCTGATAACAGGAAACCATGCCTAGGAGAGTAATAATTATTGGCCTCAGTGAACCCCATGAAATTTCACTCTTATATAATTTCTTTTTAGTGTCCACATCTACGTATGTCTGTTTCTTGTAACAATGTAACAATTCTTTATTCTTTTTCAACTATCTGTTCATGCAGGCAGGTGTTGGACCTGCTATGCTAAAGTAGTGGACAATGGTCTTTGGCAAAGTAGTGGACAATGGCCAGTAGTGTATTTTTTTCTTCAAAGAGGAAAATTATATAGTGCATTGGATTCTTTGTTTATCTGTTTTATTTTTTCATCTTTTATTTTCAGTGTCAACGTAATGGGATACAAGAAGAGTGATTATGACGTTCCACATGACTAGATGAAATTGTTAATTTGTAAGGCAGTCATATCAAAATTCAAACTTTAGTTAGCCACGTCAGTTAATCAGCTAGTTACTTTTTATTATTTAAAAAATTTATTAGGGCTATAATTTTTTTATTTTTTTTTAAATGAGATCGACCCTCCTTGGCTAGCCAAAGCACATGCTAGGCTAGCCGTTGTGTGGGAACTGCCTTTGGCTAGCTGTAGGCCCCACTTATTCCAACCCACTATTTGATCAGCCAGCAGAACACGACTGCTTTTTAAGAATAAAGTATAATGTGTTTTTCACATCACAAAGCTGGCAATATCGCCGGGAATTGAGATCAATTTGGAGCTTTTACATGGTGTTTATGCTCGCTTTAAATTCCACTGGTGAATTATTGCGGCAGTTCTGTATGCTTGTGTTTTCTAAACACAACTTCCATATTCACTTTGAAGGTCATTCTTTGAACTAACAGTATCAAGAATGTGTTATCTCAGTTTTCTAGCTGGTACCAAGGAACTATACTAGCATTGTGACATTGTTGAGTTTATAATACCATTAATTTTCATATGAAAAAAAATAGTAAAAATTCCCAATTGTAATGGTGGTGAAGAAAACCTATTGGGGATCTCACAGTGGCTGTAGACACAGCAATATTGAATCAAAAGGGGTCTATAGGTTTTACTAAAAAAACAAAGTTCACCTTATGGATGGTTTTTTTGCATATCTTAAAGTTTATAGGGTAAAACCGTAAAAGATAGGAAAACTCTTATGCACTGAGAATCTGATGACACAATAACACCCACTAACTAAACACTGACAAGCAGTGATAGGGTCCACTCTAACAGATGTTTTTTTTTACTTATGTGAAAAATATAATTGGTTGATAACAACGATTACATAGTACTCCGAGTGTAAGGAATATTTTCTCATTAAGGTCACCTAGAAAACAAAACAAAGATAAAACACCCCAAATTCAAGTTGCGAGCCACTAGATCATCTGAAAATTGTATCACTTGTTTAACTTTCAATAGATTAGAGCATTCAATTACCACAAAAATTTTGGTCACTCACCATATGCTGCTTTTTCTGGGATGTCCAGACCACTCCAACTGGTTCCCAGATTGATAATCTAATCAATTCATCAAAAGAAAAGATTAATCCATGAAATAATATACAGCCAAGATGAAACCCAAATCAACCCACGTTCTTTATCACAATGATCTCTAAATAACACAAACAGTGGACATGCAAATCCCCTGTTAACATTCACCTTGCTAAAGAAACGTGGTTGTACCCAGATTGGGCAATGCATGTAACAATATATACTTCGCTCCCATATACAAAACCCCATTTCATATCGTTTCTGTGGAAGTTTAACACCCTTCGCCATCTCCCAGCCCCGGTCCCTCTGACTATGAGAATGGTCAAGACATAGAGGGTTCTCTAATCTCTATACAACATTATTACTGCATATCCTTCACAATTTCTTCAATCAGATCACGAATAATCTGGGATTCCATCTCTTTCCCTAAAGCATCAACGTCATCATTCATCAATCCAGACCATGGAGAGAGCGCAAGGTCTCTGGCCATCAAACCATCAAGAAAGTAATAGGATTTGTCTGTTGGAGGGTACACATATGCACGAATAATCTCCCACACGCGATCCAATAACTTCCTTCCATTGGGAGGTTGCAGCATGTGACAAATAGACTTTTTCCTAAATCTAGACAACATGGTCACAGGTGGTCCAAGTACAATTGAAAGTGTTTCATTCAACAAATCAAGTAACACCTTGTGGTCTACCTTCTTCTCATCATGATCCTTACTAGACCCTTCATTATCCTTGGCCATATCCTTGTATGATTCTTCGACTTCTTCAAAAACTACATTGCTTATGTGCTTTGCAAATGGGTCCCGTCTTGATAAAACATTATCACATGAACCATCATACAAACCAGAAACTACAAGCAAATCTCTTATGTAAGCTTCTGCTTGGTCCTCTAATTCCACCATTTCAGCTTCCAAGGGCTGTTCTTCAATCATTGTTTGCTCTGAACCATCATCAGTCTCAAGTTGACTCAATTGCCTCCGCAGCTCTGTATGATTGACAAACAAAAAGCATCATCAAATTTATCAAAGCAGCTTGCAGTTTTATATTCAAGTGACACAACTGAAGCTATGGGTTTAATGTTTTCAGATAGCTTCCTACAGGTATGTGATTTGAAAAGAAAGAGAACAAATAATATCAGAGTAGTGCCAGGATGGATAATAATCAATGTCAGAAACATGAATGGGAACACCGATAAAACCATATTCTAGTCAAGAACTGCATGAACATCTTCTTTACCCCAAGTCCGCATGAGCATCTTTCTTTGCAATGATTGTTCAAACAGTGTCAACAGGACATTAATTATAATTTTCTAGAAAATTTAGGATTAGAACTGCCATTAGATGGGTTGAACACTCTGTTACAACCATACAAGAGAGCAGCCAAATTTGATAGATTTTATGAAATTTAATCACCTGATTAGCATTCCCATTTTTTGGTAACATTTTAAAAAGAGTGTACATGCTGAAATATGACTGATTTGACCAATATAAAATTATTAAAGAATAAAATCAAGATGGTTTCTGAAATAGATAAAAGCCATGCTGCACAAACATAGGTAAGGGATCAATCCCAATTCGTGTCAGCCTAATGAATTCACATATGCAGAAATCAATAATTGATAATTAAATATTCAAAGAGAATCAATCTGTAGGAATTGTAATGCCACAAGAAACTTCCTCCAGATATAGCATATCATGATGTCTACTTTTTAAGAAAAAAAACAATAACAATACAAAAATAATAATAATAATAAATAAATAAAAATAACCAACCTTTTCTACATTATAAATTTACAGATAATCAGCAACAAAGTCGCTATTTAAACAAAAGGGATTGTATAATGGTCTTAATAAGCTTATTTACAGCAGCAAATGTTTTACTGTAAAGGCAGAAACACTATTGCTGCTCTGATTAGGAGGAGGTTTATTGTGCTAGAAAAGAAAGCAATAAGTTAGCCATGAAGAACTGACATTTATAATAGGGCAGTTATGGATATATTTTAATTTGTAAGAATATTAGAGAAACATATGCCAGTTACCGTACCATTCAGATTAGAGCTGATCTCTTTGAAAACCTGAGACACAGCAGTGTCTTCTAGTGGAGGTAGATCTTGTGATGATGATGTTGGGCTGAGATTTTCTGCAGTCCTCCATAACTCTTCATGAGCACTGCTGCAAATAGATGCAGGGCTGGGTGGCACCTCAGTGGAGTTCTCCTAGAACCAGAAGACCCAATATGTTTATTAAATAACCAGAAATGAAGGAATAACAGATAGGCAATTCACAAATTTTTAATTTCTTTAACCAACTAGATTAGATCCTTACATGCCTGTCGCAGAAGTTCATCACAACTGTTGGTCCACTCATCATATCTTTCATCGAATCATATTCATAATTATGTGATTCCTTTGCAGGCTGAATCTTTCTGCCAAATAGCCTCCCTGTGAGAGTGAAACTGTATTTGAAACTGGAAACCTTTTCCCTAAGATTGAATTTTTCCTTCTTCCGTTTTTTTAGATCCACTGTAATCTTTTCAATGACTTCATGCTTCCTCCTGATGTGAGCCCCAGTTAAAACGTGGCGGTCCTCTAGAAGCAGCTTCCCAAACGATGTTCCTGATACTGGGGCCGACAAAGATCTAATGAGGTTCCTGGGGGATGGTTCTCTATGGAGCATTACATCATCATCAGGCCCGCATCTGAAAGATCTGGTTTGCATTTTTGGTTCGTCTATCACATTGTCACGGTAGATCACATTGTTTGTGGCCTCACAGTTATCTCCTGATTGTTTTAGTCTGCCCCTTCCATTATCAAACATAGAAGAGCTTGAGCTGCCACTGACAGCCGCGGGAATTTCCAGATGCCTTTCATTCTTTAGAACGTTTTTTAGCCTCTCTGACAAGAATCTCCTAGCATCTCTGTTTATGAACTCTGGGGATCCTGGTCCATTTAACTGAATCTCATTGCTATAAGATCTGGTAGATTCCGACCGAAGTAAATTCATTCCGAGGTCTTTAGTAACACTTTCTCTAACCTGTTTCGCTATGCGTTGAGCAATTTTCTTTGGATCTGATGGCTTCTCACTATGAGGGGTCTCAATTCCACCTCCTCTGACCACAGTACCCCTTTTAAGAGCTTTTCCTTGCAAATCCCATTTCAGCCTTTCCTTCACTTCCTCAAGAAAATCTTCTATACTATCTCTCTCTTCTGAATTGCCCGAGGAACTTGCCCAGGATTTTTCATTGTGGCCTATGTGATCAGTGGCAGGCCTCAGGATCACTATCCTTGTGGGAGTAGAATTTAACCACAGTTTCTGATCAGAACTCATCAGAGGGGAGTGCTCAAAGTCTCTACTCAATGTTCTGCTCCTTGAATTGAATAATTCATTTTGCTCAGCTGGAAAATGTTCCTTTCTCATTATAAGGGAATGCTCAAAGTCTCTGCTCAGTGTTCTGCTCCTTGAAGGGAGTAATTCTTTTTCCTCAGCTGCAAAATGTTCCTTTCTACACCCGCGGTGTTGTATCCCACCTCCTTCATGTAACCTCGCTTTTACCATATGACCTTTGAGTTCTCTAGGTGTCTCACTTGCTGTCACTCTCCTAGAATTTGCATAAAAAGTGATCTTTTCCTTGTTGAGGTTTTCTTGAGCAAGCCGCTGGCTAGGTATGCTCTCAAGTTCAACAACCTTTGAGCATTCCCTAAACCTTGCTGCTTGCCATGCTTCAAATTCTTTCTTGAACTTCTGTAATTCTTCCTCCTGAGGATGTTCTCGAGGCTTTAGCTTTTTCGACTTCATGCCACCATTCAATCGATCAGGATCCCCATCTTCATTATAGTGAAAGGAACCATACTCTATCTGTCTGGAAGAATTTGAGTTGCAATGGGCAAGGCCACCTGAACCCTTTTTATTCCTTTCCTTTCTCGGAAAATTTCCCTGTTTTTCATTCTTTTTATCAACAGACTGAGCAACTGATTCTGTATCTAATGGTAACATGTCCATTCCCATCAAACGGGCCACAATGCTTGGAGCATTGCGCCTGGTGTTTGGTCCTGGTCCTTTGGATATCTCTTCACTGATCAACTTCTTCATTGAAGCCTCAGTTGGATAAGATTTGTTCTCAGACCACTCTCGTGTCCCTTGGAAAGAGTGCTGAAAAGTCAGGGCAAACAGGGCAAAGAAAGAGTCACACACTGAGTGAGAGAAAGAGAGGGAGAGAATAATTGATTGTTGCAACTGATATAAGAAGCACCCCCTTTCATCAAAATATAAGAATAAGTCTCAACTGGAATCTTATGGATAGAATTTCATCCAATTTATTTGACAGAAGAAAGCAAATAATAAATGCCTCAAGAATAACAAAAAAGAGATGAATTGTTGCGCACAAATATTTGTATATTGCCAATGCAGCAACCAGAAAAAGATATGGGGATGATTAAAGAATGGATCAAAATGCAGAGTTGAAGTTTACAAACAATATAGATCACCAATGTAGCAACGAAAGGACACTTATTATAGAGATTTTCCTCCTCAAAGATGGTGAGATCTTCAAAAAAAATGATGACAAAAACAGCCAAAAGAAAAGGATTATCCGAATTTAGTTCAATATACCAATCGATAATACCCTAAAACTCAGTAAAGCCACCCCAAAACTTGTAAAACTTCAGTCCTGTAACAAATAATATATCTCCAACATGAGCACTGGTTCTTGTGAGCCCACTCGCACAAGAGGGCCAAACACTCCACAAGAGGAACTATGAAAGCCTTCTCCCTTAAAAGTGGGGACCCCATCCACACCATGGAAGGCCTTCAGCCCAGACGGGGAACAATAAATAAATTATTTGAAAGTTCTAAACTGTGAAGTAAGTTTCCTCAAAAAAACAACTTCAGATTTTATGGGATGAAATATTACCGGTACACTCTCTGTAACAGAATAATAGTCCTGCGAAGATTCCGCCGGCAGCTCCAAACTATTTCGAGGAGCCTCCAACCCTGCAGAGTAGTTGAATCAACAGCATTATGCTTCTATATTCAGAAGCAAGAAGGAAATTCAATGAATAAAGTATTTTATTTAATCTCTCTCGTCACTTTCAGGGAGAGGTGATGTTTCTAATGGTGAAGTTGTGGTTCCAATCGGGCACCATATCGTTATCTCTCTCGTCACTTTCAAGGAGAGGTGATGCTTCTAATGGTGAAGTTGTGGTTCAATCGGGGACCATATCGTTAGTAGGGACCAAGCCATTTCAATCCAGGGCAAAGTGTAACATAAAAAATTCATCTAGCATTGACATAACAGGCAAAAAGAAGAATTTTAAGAATTAAAAAAAAAAAAAAAGGAAAAAAAAAAATATTTAGAAAATTTTGAAAGGAAAAAAAATTAGAGAATGATTCAAAAAAGGAAATTTGACTTTTTTTTTAAGGAAATTTAATGAATTTAAAGGGTAAAAGAAAGAAAAAAAATTAAGATAATTTTAAAAATTATACGTACTTAAAAACTATACAAATTAGCTATATATATTCCATTGGGCAGGGGCCACATAAGCCTTGTCAATTGAACAATTAAGTTGATGGTTCTCAATCACCATCATTTTTCATTTCTTCCCATCCGCCTATTAGGACGGAAATTGTCAAACTCAAGATGATGCCATCCTATACCTACTGCTAAAGCACTTGGACAAAAAATTACAATGCTATTGTTTTACAATTTACAATTTTAATATAAGTTTTACAGTTCACCATGAATACCAACAATCTACCTATTATGATTTCTAGAAATTGTAAAATCAATATTTAATAAATTCATTGAAGTGAATTAATGAATTTTTCAAGTCCCGTAATTGGATGTTTACGCAACTTGGTTCTGTTCTAATTCCTACCCTATTTATCTGATGCGCACAAAACAAATGATAATACTTACCACCAACATGTCTCTTGTGTGCAAGAACTTTCTTGGCCATGCTGCGCTGATTAAAGTGAATAAGGTGCAATAAGCCTCCCATGCAGCCAGCTAATCCACACAAAAGCTATCATGTCCTCTGTCCTGCATTTACCTAGAGCCAAAAACTTGTTTCACACCCTGCAAAGCCACAAACCCCGGAATTGGATGTTTACGCAACTTTGAAAGGTACTGTGTACAATCCCCGATGCTAGAGCCAAAAACTTGTTTCACATCCTGCAAAGCCACAAACCATATTTTAGTGAAATCTTGCACGAGTTTTATAACTCCACAAAGTTTTTCTTCCTTGTTCAGTTCTTTTCACCATATTGTTTATGTTTTTACCAAAAAAAAAGAAAAAAAAAAAAAAAAAAAAAACAATTGGATGCCTATAGATATCTTATCTTACATCAGAGATCAGTAAGAGATATAGATATTTGAATCACTTTACACAACAATCAAGTTTCAATCCCAATGCCAAAGTGGCTGAAATAACAAGGACAAACAAGTAGGGGAAGAATTTCCCGTATCCGATTTATGCTTCCACCATTTCTCTTAAAGAACATAAAATCATGTAATATATCTGAGGAATGATTTTCATATATACATATTCCCTGCTCAATTGACACTATGAACATCTCATTTCATATCAATTGTAATATATACCCACACATATATATATAAACTAGCTGCCCTCTCTTACTGCTACTTTTCTAGGAAAAAGCAACCAGAAGAGGAAAGACCAATTCAAACAAGTCATTTGATTACCAAACAATTCCCCATTACAAACACCCAAAAACAAAAACAAAACCATATAGAAAGCAAATCCAAATCAACCAAGCATAACCCAAAAATCCATTCCGTATATGAACAAAGATCACAGCAAAGAAGCACAAATTCATCAACCAGATTTCACATTCACTCCCAAAATATTGAGAATTGAGATACTACTAAATTCATCACTAAATTGAAAACTTACCCAGCTCAAATTCCAGAACTTGTAACCATATAATCGCCAGGAGTTTGTGAAATTCCAAGCAGCAAATCCTCTGAACTTGACCTTGCACAATGATAAAGAAGACCCACTTTCGAACGTAACGTTGAGAACAATTCCTCAAAAATTCGAAGTGAAAAGATCAACGAACTATCATGCAGCGCATTGAAGATAAAAAGTAGCCGATTGACAGAAGATAATCGCTGAAAAGTGGAAATTCAAAGCTGGGTCCGGTCTGAAATTGAAACCCTAGAAATAACAACGAGAATGATGACGATGATGAAAACAATAATAATTGAAGAAAAAGTATGCTTTTAGTATGAGAGTCCATTGCTGGAATCACAAGACCAGAAAGCGAAGGTTCGCTTCTACTTGGAGTACTATTTCCTTTCAAGTCCAATTTTTTTTTTTTTTTTTTTTATTTGGTTAATTTATTTTATTTTTATTCCTATTTTGACCATGGATGTGAAGAGAGGGGGTGTACAATCAAGTAGTGGATGGACCACAGTTATGTAGGTGGTCTCAATCAATGGTGGTATTAAAGAAAATTGACTTTTGATCCCTTAAGGTGATCTAATTGGTACAGATGTAGTCTGTGGACCAAAACCATTATTATCGTAGGGTACACGATTATCTGGCTTAGCCGTCTCTTGTGAAAGAGCCTCTCTCTCTCTCATTCTATATATATCTATATATATATATTAGTTACAACGTACAACTCTACAAAGCATTCCTAACCTCATATCTTTTTATCATTGAATTTTACTCTCTTCAAGTGAATGGATTCCTTCACGGATTTATTTGGGAGTTCATATTTTCTTCATTTTTTTTAATCACAAACTTCTAATATTTTTGTCATAAAAAAAAATTAAAAAAAAAAAAAACATAATAGTTCAAGTTATTTTTTACTTTAAAATTTGTTATTGTAGAAATAATATAATAATTTTTTTTTTTGAAGGTAAGAAGAGTTAGATGTTAGATTATATTAGTAGATGTAGAGAGTTCGAGTTTGGACACTCCAAGTTTTACGGGAGACTTTTATCCAACTAGATTGCGAGACATCGACATAATATAGTGATTTTCAACACCATTACACCTATTTTCAACATATTTATATTTACTTTTTTAACTATATTTAATGTTTTGAAAATTACTGTATTCAAAGATGTAAATCGTTAAAAAAAACAAATGTAATGCATCGAAAAGTGTACAGTACCTCTATGTTGGGGGGAATTATAACAGAGAATCCGAACTACTCTTTTTTACATGCCATAGTCTCAATATTAAATATCCATGTTATGTTAGTAGTATAGAATTAGTGTCTTAGAATTAAAATTTTCAATTCTAATTTCAAAGCATTAATTTCATGCTACATAATATAACCGGCTTTGAAAAATATAAATTGATGACGACTCAATCTTGTGGGATTCTAAGTTATACCTATATTTTATTTTATTTTTATAACACTTGTATCAGCTTTATAATACACGCACTATTCAAGTTAAAAGTATAATTACCGTGACTTGTGGCAGGAGCTAAGGTGTGAAGAAGCACCTGATAGTTTTCCCTTCACTATTGTTGTATTTGTGTCGTCCACGTAGACGACATAACTGGAGAGGATTGCGTGTTGTAGAAAGTCCCTCTCCGTACATGATTTGACGTTTTAACCCCTGGGGAAAACTGTTGCTTTAACGGAATGATTTTAACATTATTTTATTCGATCCAATCAAATATTATTTTAATTGAGAGCGCATGTAACGTAACGCAGGAACAGCTCAGGGACAGTTTGCTTTTACGCACGATGCTTCCATTTGGCGGCAACTCAAAAGGGTATAAAATGCAACGTGAACTTTTCTTTTCTAATTTTTTTTTTTTCCTTCGTTTTTTTGGAGTTTTTCATTTGTTTTCTTCCACCTTGTGTTTTATGTGCCATGTGCACAAAAAATTACTAGCAACTTAAAAGATCAAAATTTTCCCCCATATTTTACGGACAGTACTTAAAGTCGTTGTCACGAAAAATTATTACGTAATCTCAGATTAATTGTGGTTGTCAATTCAGATCAATTATGAGTTGTCATATAAATATTTGTGTTAGTTTTACATTCACTTTATAAGATGGATCCGTGCTAGTTAATATTCAACCCCTTGACATTAACCTATTGTAACATATTGAGTACTCAGCTCTCATACATGGTCTTACAACTTTGCGGAGACCTGTGTTTTTGGTAAACAGTCGTCCGGGCCTGGTCACTGCGACCCCCTTTGTGAGGGGGCACCCCTTCTCCCGAAGTTACGGGACTATTTTGCCGAGTTCCTTAGAGAGAGTTGGATATATGATTCAAAATTTTAAACTATTGATAGTGTTGTATATTTATCTATTTATTTATAATCAAGTAGTAATACTCTTTCCATTCAAAATTTTCGTGGAACGAGAATCTCTAACACAAAATCACTATGACAAAAAGCAATTCCATTAAATTAAGCTTCAAAACTACTGTGTGTTCTCTTACTTCTAACCAGATTCAACGTGGGACAAGAACCTTTAACACAAAATCACTGTGACAAAAGCTAGATCATTAAATTAAGCTCTTGAACACTACTGTGAGTTCTCTAAGACAGTGGTTCAAGAAGCTCAATGCTCCATTCCTTCACAACCTTTTTTTTTACTTTTTCTTTTTTTGAGATAATGTCAAATTGGATTGTTTCTTAATTGTCAATATTAGTAGTTGTTGTATGTTCAAAGATTATTATTATTATTATCCATGAATAATAGAAAAGTTTTCTCTTTGCTCAACTTTGTGGATGCTCTCATAGTTTCCAGTTTGTTACTTGACTATTAATAATCAATTTGTCTTGATAATTAAAACCCAAAAACTCCATTGATGTTGCATATATTTGTAAGCTTCACTTATATACAAAGAAATAGATGTAGGTAGTACATATATTTTCAAGAACCGACAAAGAAGGTGTGTGGGCGTGTGGGCGTGTGTGAAAAAGGACTCAGAAAATGAAAGAGATATGGAAGACAAGGATCCGGATTGAATGGAATGATAGATCCATGTGGCCTTTAAAGCAACTTTTAAAATCTCAATAAATCTAATACAATTATACAAGTAATGATACAAAGTCCTGCTCCATGTTCTTTATAACTAGTCTTCCCCCTGCAGTCACTTACCCTGCTCGGGTGGAGAGGCTCTCTTTCGGGTTTTCGGGAAATAGTCGAGTTATTGAGGGATCCTATGAGGTCGTGCCTTCCCGAACATCCTGAGTTAAATAACCAAAAAAAAAATTTATTATTATTATCCATCAATAATAGAAAAAATATATCTTTGCTCAACTTTGTGGATGCTCTCATAGTTTCCAGTTCGTTACTTGACAATTAATAATCAATTTGTCTTGATAATTAAAACCCAGAAACTCCATTGATGTTGTACCTAAATACAATGAAATAGATGTAGATATATATTTTCAGGAACGGACAAAGAGGGTGTGGGTAGGTGTGTGAAAAAGGACTAGAAAATGGAAGGCATATATGTATGTATGTCGCTATGCAAGGAATGGAATGATAGATCCATGTGGCCTTGAAAGCAACTTTTAAAATCTCAATAAATCTAATACAATTATACAAGAATTATACAAAGTCCACATAAAATCTCAATAAATATTTTTATTCAATGAAAATTGCTTTAATTTTTTGAATTAAAAAAAAATCTTATAACATCGAAAGTCTAGTAATGAATTTAATGATACGATTGAAGACAAGGTCGGATGCCACAAGTTTAGTTGAATACAATTGTAGTACACCTATAGATACATAGGGTGAGGACTTGTGACTCTGACAATTGAAGAAATTAACAGCTAGAGTTGAGAAATCGATTGGACTTTACATGAACTGGTTCGGTTTGGTTTCCAAATAATTGATGTACGTGCTTCTTCTTCTTCTTCCAGTTTTACAATTGTAGTACATGTAGACAATCATAGGGTAACCTGGGTGAGGACCAGTGAGTACTTTTGGCTTTTAAATGAAAATTAATTCGACTTTACTTGAACTGGTTCGGTTTGGTTTCCCAACTAAATTGTAGTTCCAATAGGCAAACATAATAGGCAAACATAGGGCAAGGACTACTTTTAGAGGTGTTCTTGCCCTACATGGGATTCCAATGGAGAAGAACTTAAACATATATGGACGGGTAGGCAACACTTTTTAACAGTTTAAGTTTTTAAGTCAGTGGACAAATGTTAAATGACCGGGACCTGTTATAAGTGATATCAAACAATGTGGAAGAATGTTAAAGTTGTTTTTGTTCCACATTAAATTCGGAAGCCGGTGATTTTATAATTATTTAAAAAAGAAAAAAATTAAAATGAGATTCAATACAATTTAAAATAAATTATAAGTTAACTAGAAAATAATATAAATTTTTTAAAAATTAAAATACCAAATATCTAACTCTAAGCTTCAAATTAGTAATTTTATTCTTGATTATATAAATAAAATGAACTAAAATTATTATTTTTATATATAATAATGGTTAATTTTTTTACCTATTGTTGTTGTATCTATATTTATATAGTGTCATATTTATTAGTGTTTGTATTCGGATTTTTTTTTTTTTTCTGACAAATAAGAAAAAGGATGAATGTATTAAAATACAAGTCTTTAATACAAGTCCACCTAAACGCTTTACTAATTAGGTTACACACCTTCCATTGCTACTTAATTGTCTTATTGGGTATGGAAGAGAGAATTTTGATGAGCAAAAGTTGTTGGAAAAGAAAGGTAGATAGCAACTGAATGTGTTAGAAAGAAAAATTATTATAAGATTAATTAAAATGGCACAACTTTCTAGTTTCCCTATATTAGAATAATAAAAATAAGCTAATTATGAAGTGGAGCTGAGCTGGTTGTATAACAATTTGACCAAGCCCTATCCATGGTGGTCAAATCATCCGAACATGGAATGATTGTTAGCAACACAGTTTTTTACAATACAGTTAAGCTTCCCTATCAATTATTAAATAAATAAAAGTACAGAGAACAAAACTGTATAAACTGACCAAGTAATTACTAGTTAATTAACATCTTAGACTCTGAAATGGCCCTTTTGTGCTAAACTATGTGTACCATCACAAGCCCTTCTTATTACAGTTTCTTTTTCTACTTTTTCTCTTTTGACATTAAACAATACAATTGATCTGCACATTATTTATTGTATTATGTGTTTTTTTTTTTTTAAAAAAAAAAATGAGTTCAACAATGTGGGCTATACATACAATGGCACTAGTGCTTTAACTATTGGGGGGACTCCAACATTAAAGTTTCCTTAAATATGATTAATGAAATACTAAAAGCGAAACTAAAAGAGATAAGAAAGATGTAGCCTAGATTAAATGTTGTTTGTTGTTTGGTGGTGTGAGGCTCTTAGAATTCGTTCAAATGCATTGAATAATTATTAAGAAAATTCTCTAAGAGTGACTTCAAAGAAATTCGAACTCTCAACCTCCAAATTTAGATGGCAGAAAAGTCACGTGGCAACAAAAATACATTTCCCAAACACCATTTATAAACAATCAATACTGGATAGTTGTTTGTTTTGTAGAGAGTAATGTTCCTTCTTTCTTTCCTTTTGAACTGAGAAGTTTATATGGGTGGGGGAAGGAAATGACTTTTCTCCTCTTTTCCTTCCTTACCATTTTTCTTCTGCCTAACAAGTAATGCATCTCTCTCAGGATTTTCTACAGTGCACTGCAGAGTTTTTAACACGACTAAATTTAGTTTAATACATTACTTTTAGCTGGGAATAATGTGTTGAAACATGATTTTTTTCTCACTGGTTTAGTGTAGTTGAATTGAAAACATATAGAATCTTACACCAAAATATTTGGACGTTGTAGGCCAGCTTGGTTTGTTACCCATGAAATAATTCTCAATAATTCAAAAAATATATAACTATTTTTGCATAATTACAATAGACAGACAATTCTTTAAAACCAGACTTTTTTTAATTAAGTTTTTAAAAAATAATTATTCAAATATTGCCTTCTTTTGTTGTTGTTTTTCACAACAAAAATGTTGAGGGTTAGTGGAGAGAGGTTGCGAAGGATTGAAGTCAAACACCCAAAGATAATTTTATTCGAACACTATGGGCCAGCTTGTTTTGTTATCTATGAAATAGTTCTCAATAATTCAAAAAATATAAAAATATTTTTTAATAATTACAACAGACAGATAGTTCTTTAAAAACACACTTTTATTAATTAAATTTTCAAAAAATAATTATTCAAATATTGCCTTCTTTTGTTGTTGTGTTTTTCATGATAAAAATGTTAAAGGGTTAATAAATAGAGAATGTGAAAGCTTGAAATCAGACTCTCAAAAACAATGAAAAGCATTCCTGTTGCCGTTTGGACTATACAAGCGTTCATAAAAAAATTATTAACCAAACAAATTATTTTACAGTTTTCCATTTTTGGTTTTCAAAAACACTGAGTCTCACTCCCAAATAAATGAACTGAAGGTAACATGGGAGCATGCAAGAGGTGCCACCCATGCCAAAAAACAATGAATGGTTTCCAGGCAGTTGCAGGGTTGTGTACAGTAGCACATCAATCTAATCACATCAATGCTGCCATTGGACCATTCGTAAAATCTAGTTACAGAGGGAGACACATCTAGATGGAAAAGTACAACCCCTATCCCCCTTTTATTATGCTACATCTCATGATGCACAAAAACTGAGAAACAAAAGGTACAACATACAACCTACTCCAATACTCCACCAAAAGCCAACCATTATTATAATAATAATAATTACTATGTGGACATTTAAATTCCCCCAATCAATTTGAAATTTAATAGTGCGTTACTCAGAGCTGTGTGTGTTTGTGTGTGTGTGGTTAGATGAAATTATCAAGGTGGGGTTTCCAATGTAAAAGAAAAAAAGGGACAACCCTATATCTCTTTCTCTCATACAGTTCATGTAAATGATGATGATGATGCCCTATGTGGGGCTTTTGGTTGTAAAGCTATCCCTATCAAATGATGCCTCAGAGCTTGTGTCATGTGCTTGGGAGCCTAAAAAATTGAGATTGTTATGGGAGACTAATGAGTGACTCCAATAACACCAATTAATTAGTTGGGTCCAGATGATTAATAAGGCAAAAGTACATGTAGTTTTGAACTATGCCACGTGGCAGTGCATGAACCATATGAGTATTTTTTATTTTATTTTCTTAAAAAAAATTAGCAACGATGAAAGTTTTTTTTTTTTTCTCTCCGGGATAAGAATTTTAGATTAAAAGCTAACATGCAATGCTCGAAAGCAACCCAATTGATAGACTAAAAAAGCGTTAGCGGAATCAATTCACGCACTATACGCGCTGAATTTTTTATTTTCAAACTCCGGTAGTATGCAATCATATAAAATTCATATGCTTCGTTGTGGTTTAGACATCACTTTTGGCGAGTCTTGAACTAGAGACTTATCTTGAACTAAATTTTCCTGAATTCAAAATTACAATTTTCTTTTCATTCCATCATTGTTGGGAAAAAAATTTGGCTGAAATTATTGAAAATAAGAGTGAATAAAAAAATGCAAAAAAATAAAAGTTAAATAAAGGATATTTTTCCTTGGTTTATGTTTTACTTAATAGTCAAAATCTTGAGTTAAAATTTTCTGTTTTAGTTTACTTTAGTCTGAATCAGGAAGAAAATTAATGCACTTATTTGGGGGTTGCAATTCACTATCTACTAGGCTCAATTACTTCACAGCCATTACTCTAATCCAATTACAAGCCCAATTACAAGGCTAAAGACACCAAGTCCAACCAATTACAAGCCTCAAGACACCAAATCCAACCAATCACAACTTCACAAGCCCAATTACAAGCCTAAGGACACCAAGTCCAACCAATTACAAGCCTCAAGACACCAAGTCCAACCAATCAGAAGCCCAATTACAAGCCTCAAGACATCAAGTCCAACCAATCAGAAGCCCAATTACAAGCCTCAAGACACCAAGTCCAACCAATCAGAAGCCCAATTACAAGCCTAAAGACACCAAGTCCAACCAATCACAAGACCAATTACATGCCTCAAGATATCAAGTCCAACCAATCACAAGCCCAATTACATGACTCAAGATATCAAGTCCAACCAATCACAAGCCCAATTACATGACTCAAGATATCAAGTCCAACCAATCACAAGCCCAATTACATGCCTCAAGATATCAAGTCCAACCAATCACAAGCCGCTACAAGCTCAAGTCCAACAAAAACGAAGCTAAAGTCCAACAAATTACAAGCCTTGTTAAGATGGGATGTCAAGACGCAAGATTCGACTTTTGAGACCTAAGTCACACAAAATCGGAGTCGGAGTGAGAGCGAATGTGAGAGTAGGAGCATGAAAGCAACCAATTTAAGTCACACATAGTGAGAACAGGTGTGTGTGTGTGTGTGTGTGTGTGAGCACATAAAACGTAAGAACGACACCCGTTTAAAAGAATTGTGTGACTTAGCTCAAAACATAACTGGCATTGAGGAGGACGTGTGATACACTAATACGGTATAGGCAATGATGGCCATCAAGGTGATAAATACTTTAATACTTTTGTTATTCTGATGACATGATATCATCAAATAATTGAATATTAACACCTGCTAAATAAATGCATTTTTCCTTACATAACAATATATAATTGGTAATTGATAACACAAATGACGTGGTATCACCGGTATTAAAAAGTTTTTCTCAATTAAGCTACAGTTATCATCATTGTAATTAGAACACAAAATCAGGGTAAGATGTATTCACTTTAAACACAGATTAATATCCCAATTAGTCATTTTAAAACCTTCAAAAAGGACTTTGGCATAGATTGCTTCTTGTACAAGTCCTTCGGGAAACGTTAAAACCAGCAAAATACTTTTGAAATTACTAAAGCAGAAAAGTTCTTCAATAGGCTTCCAAAATCACTCCCACAAGCATTATTTTACTTCCCCACAAACCACCGTCCAAATCTGATCATTATCGCCCCTTTTTAGTGAAGTGAAACGAGATTTTTACAGTAATATAGAAAAGTTATTAAAGTCACCCCACTATTCAATTCAGTGTTTTATAATTTAAAGTCACTTGTTTGAGAAATAAATAAATAATTTAAAGTCACTTGTATTTTATTTTTGGTCTATAAATATAATCAGACAAAATAAAACTTTCTTTTGTAAAATTGTCCCAAGTTTGTGACGTAAGCCCTGAACCCACGTGTTATTGTCGAACTCGTTCAAGGAAAGTCATCACTGCCCTGGAATTAAAATCAAGTGGTCCCAGTTCCACCTGACTTGGGTAGACTAGCCCTACCAACTATTTGATACGTGTCAATAAAGGAGTAGTCCAACATTTGTCTAACACAATTCAAAAGAAACTTTTATTTTTGCCATACTAATTAGACCACTTTATTTCAAGATAAGTTCAAATGTGCACAGAACATGCAATCATTAACCCCGATTTTTCACCCGAGTAATAGTCATCACGAGGACTTCATGGTACTTGAAAAAATATTGTTTAATTTAGCATATTTTGAATAAAAACATTGAATAATTTTAATAAAAATGAGACTGCAAAATTTGACTGAAGAATGCAGTATTCCTTTTCTGTTTTTTTTTATTATTTTATATTCTAAATAGCTTTTAAATCATTTGTGGAGATTCGAACCTGAACATCTTTTTTAAGTAACGTCGCCATTTTTTATTTTTATTTTTATTTTTATTTTTATTATTAGATCGGCCACATAAATTTTATTTTTATTTTTTCTGATTATAAAAGTCTACAATAATATTTAATTTTTAATTATTTCATGACTGTTTGTAGTAAGATGTATCTCAGTGTAACTTCTCTCTTTTATTTCTCTATCCATGCTTTTATTACAGTACTGGATTTTCTTTTGTCGTTTTGGACTGGAACCAAATCAGATCTTTATATAGGTTTATATACACATATACATATACATATATACATATATATATATATATCCCCAAAATTTCGGATCATTCAAATTAATCGCCACGTGTACTCGTCCACAGTCTCTTCCCTCACCATTATAAAAAAAAAACCGCTCATTTGTCTCTGCGTCCAATACAAAAAACGGTAATCAACCGTTTAACTCTCTCTCTCTCACTAACATTCTCTTCCCGGCGATTTTCTCAAAGCACGGTTCGATCAGACTCGTTCTTCTTCTTCGTCGTCGTAATTGTGGTTGTCGTCGCCATTTCCGATCATTGATAGCTTCAAATCTACTCTGAGAACGGATCTCGGGAACATGTTCGTCAAAAAGCTCGTCGAAAAGGCCTCTTTGAAGAAGGTAAGTAACTGATCCCTCTCTCGATCTCTTTTGCTTTGATTCAATCTCTGATTTATCAAATCTTCGGATGGATTGATTCGAAAAGTTGAAAATTTTGAGTTGTTTAGAAGATTAGAGTACAAATTGGTGAAAAGCAGTTATATATATATACACACACACACACACTCTGTTTCTTATATAATCATTATTTTTTATTTTAGTCATTGTGTAACTATGTTTAGTGGTTTGTGTCAATTCATAGATTACTGAATTCGTGATATTTTCTAGGAGTTGAAAGTTAGCATTGAATTATATTTCATTATACTACTGATTCAATATTTTATACATTTAAACTGAATAATATTGATCTTGATTCCTGATTCCTGATTAGTTCGAATATGATTCTCTTTAATGCAATTGCAAAAAAAAAAAAAAAAAAAAAAAAAAAAAAAATTATTCTTTTTTTTTGTTGTGGAATTAATTTCACTTGGAACTAAACATTTTCGTAAGTAAAAATGTCAGCTTTATTCAGTTTTTTGTTTTTGGCTTCGGATCAGTTTCTTGAAAGATATCTCCTCATATACTAAGTAATAAGTATGGTGATGGTTATTGTTATAATATTATATGAGTTGCTTAGCTTAATTAGGCACTGTTTGGCTACGAAGATACCGAAATTGCACAAATGGATGATAATTAGGTAGGAGTTGAAATCATTCTTTTGAGTGGAGTCAGTGGACAATGGACACATATGATTCTAATGTCCTCTGTTTGGCTTAAAAAAAAACTTCTTCTTCTTCTTTTTTTTTTTTTTTTTTTTTTTTTTACGTTAAGAAGTAGAATATGTGTTTCTTAATTACATTATTGAGTTTTGTGTGTGTTTGGGTGTTATGTAGTAGGTTTTAGGTATCCTGTGGTATTGTCTCATCTAAAGTTTAGTGTATTAGGTAAAAATTGCCTATTAAAAGTTGGTGAGATGGACGTGGAAAATAATTTGTACAGAATTGCATGACGATATGATTTTAACTTAATTTGGTACTTAAATGGGAATATGTTTAAGTGATTAACCATATTTAAATGTGTTTGGTAAACCAATGTAAATAAAATAGAGTAAAATTATAATTGATATAGAAACATTTACAATTCAGACAACAAAATTAATTTATAATTAACACTAATACTTGATTGTTAGCAAAATTAGACATGAGAAGATTTTGGTAATTAGGATTATTGGAAGGGTAGATTTAAATTTTGCCGCTTTTAGATTTATATGTGACAACGCTATTTTTTATTATTATTATTATTTTTTTTTATATGTGACATTTGGAAAGAAAAAAATAATAATTAGTCATTGTCAATACATAGTATGTGCTTTACTTGTCTCTTTTGACTCCTTTAAGAGATTTCTTACCTACCTAAAGATTTGATACACATCATTATCCCTTTCTTTATCATCTTAATCCTTTATTAAGGGTTCTAACATCAGCTTGTCAATCTAATTAGCATCCAAAGGGCTATAAAAAGTAACAGTTTCGTGATTTCATCTCATTTTTAAAAAAATTCATCTCATTACTCATGTTTTTATTCCACATAAATGAGATTAGTAACATAAATTATCTTTTTTTCATTCCTTTATATTTTTTCTCTTAAATAATTTTTTTTTTTTTTTTTTGATAAAAATTAAAGCCACGTGGCTTCACAATTGGCAATTGAGGAAAAAGAAAATATTTTTCAACCTTAGTTTTATTATTATTTTTTATTGTTTTTCTTTTTTCGTGGATGATAAATCCTTGTGATGGACGGTGGCATTTATTATTTAATCCCAAATTCACACAGACACCACATGAAATTTTGTGCCAAGTCAATGCCCCCTGTCAGTTACATAAGACTATAACGGGCCCACTAGTGGATATGGTCGGCTTTCAGTTACCATTCTGATCTGTTTTTTTTTTTGGACAACTTTTTGCTACTTTATTCCGCATTGAAAAAAGCAGATAAAGACTAATCAAAGTTAATTTGTCTTCTGTATTACATTTGTAAAGTTGATCTGTATGTCTATCCAATGGTTGGTCTCAATAGGGTTTTAACTGTTCTCATTTTTAAGAGATCTATGATAAATTCTCAGTAATTACTTGTGGGTTGTGGCCTGCGTTCGAAGTGGATTAGTCTCACTCATAAAAAGTGTGGGATACCTCCTTTTGAAGGAAAAAATACATATAAATAAAAAAAAAATAGTTTAGTTTCGGGCTAGATTAGTGCACAAAGCTCCACTATGACGGGTTTTGAATATCATTTGTATGGTACATGAATTACACATAAAGGACTCCAAAGCTTAAATGTACTGATTTTTTTTTTTCCAGTCAGCAACAAGGGGCTCAAAATTGGACCATTCACGAAGATATAAAGAACAGGACTTTCATGTGCCTTCTAAATCAAAGGATATAAATTTCAAAAGACATTGGGGCTTTGAAATTGAAATTGTAGAAATCTAGTTCAAAGTTTCAACTAAATTTTTTCCAATTTTAATTTCGAAGTTTCAATTCGGTGTCCCAATCAAACATAGGATTAGCAACAAATAATCCATTCTTGTCATTCAATCTTGTTTTTCTTCACTCTTCTTCATTTTCTCTCTCTCTAGCTCATTATATTCACTAACTGTATATGTTCTTGGGGGTGGTTAGAGCTTTTGTATCCTTCAAGGTCCAGTCTTTGTAGCTCTGGCAATGTACTCTCATCACCTTAATACCCATTCCTGGAAAAATTATATATGATTGATTACAATGATATCTATCCAGCAAAGAATTGTCAATAGGTGATAATGTATTAGTGTTTTTTTTTTTATAATAAAAAAAAAAATTCCAGCTAGAATATACTATCTTGACTTTGTTTTGACTTTGTTCGGTGCTTTTGTTACAGCCAGGAGGGAATTCAAATGGTTTGAAATCTGATGATGTAAATCCATGTCTAGTTTTCCATTATGGCATACCATCAGGATCTATCTTGTTGGCTTATGACTCGATTCAAAAGATTCTTGCAATTTCCACCAAGTAAGTTTCTGTTTCCATTATAAGTCAAATAATAAGTACTTAAATTTTGCTTCTTCTATTTTTTAAGTCATGGATGTCTTTAAATTTTGCTGTGTAATATTGTAGTAAAATGTCGGTACTCTTTTCTAAGTGAAATAACATTTCATTCGCCGTGATATTTTGTTAATTAAATTTTTTATTAATACAATATAATGTGTCTGTACTTTAGTGTTCTCTTCCGATTTGAACATTTTCATTAATGGTTTTTACATGTGGGTGGTTCTAACAATCGTTAGTTTCAGTTGAGCCGGTGCCTTTGACTTCGCCTAATAAGTTGGCTACAGTGTTGCATTACTCAAGTCTTTATTAGACAAAATGTTAATTTTCTACTTTTCTTTAATCTGGCAGTTGTTTGTCAAATTATATATGTTCTGAGAAAATGGATGGTAGCTGATTCTGATACATATTTATATTCTCAGAGATGGTCGGATCAAATTATGTGGAAAAGATAACACTCAAGCTCTACTGGAATCTACTGAGACAGTACCAAGCAAGTTTATGCAGGTAAGGGTTGCCCGAGCTCCCCTTCCTTCCACTGTAGAGACATCTAATGGTACCTGATATGATATAAGAATGATTTCATCAGCATCCGTATTGAACCTTTTTTCATGTTCGGAATTGTATCATTATTGACAAACTGATACAATTTTCAATTTTTTTTTTTTGGGTCTTACAGTTTATTGAGAACCAAGGCTTCCTTCTAAATGTAAATGCTAACAATCACATTGAGGCAAGTTATTCCAGAGACTCGCAACTGAAGTTCAAGCTTTTGACATTCACTTTGTTTATTCCTAAGTTTGATGTTGATGTGCTACACTCATTAAATTTGTACATTAGAATATAATTGTGATATATGTTTTTTTTTTTTTCCTCCATTATTCTGGAATAATTTGCTAAAGGTAATTGTAATGTAGGTTTGGGCTATAGAGAGGAAGTTGTTGTCTCATGTGCATGTATTTAAAGAAGAAATAACCTGTTTTACAGTCTTTCAACATAGTGTCTTCATGTAAGCGTTTCTTAACTTAAAATGTGTGTGTATAAATTATATGAATCCTGTGCATTTAGTAAGGGTTGTCATACTTCCGTGGCAGGTATGTTGGCGATGCTGTTGGTAATGTTTCAGTTCTGAAGCTTGATCAAGATACATGCAATATTGTAGAAATGAAATACAATATACCTCTTGCAGCGTCTCATGGTGAGAAATATTCATCTCATAATTCTTTCACACGTGTTTATCATTGTTTATCTTGGAACATCAAATGCTTTTGATGATGAAACTGAATTGAGTTCTGCTTATGCCTTATTATTCAGAAGAAACCTTCAATACCTACTTGATAAAATATAATTTGACAAGGCGTTATACCTAATATTTACGTGGGCTGCACAAAAAATTTTCTATTGTTGCTTTATTTCTTGAACACTATTTATACATTTTTAAATGGCAGCACTCGCTAGTCAATAAGTTGAACTCTAAAGAGCAATAGTGCGGAAAATTTAGAAAATTGACCTCTAGTTTGCTTTCCAAAACAAAAGTTGGTTGACTTAAATGAATGTGCTTAATTTGGTTTTCAGAGAATTCATGTATTTTTCAGTCCTTATCATCTTCCTAAGCATCTTCTCTAATTGAATTATAGTTTTTTCACATGTTCATGTCTGACTTGTCGGCATCCTCACTTAGGCAATACAGCTGAAGTTGCTGGTGAGACTGCTGTTATGTGTATACTACCTCAACCAACAGCTGAAAGTGATAGGTAGTCTATCTCAATATTGATTTGTTCTCGACTTTTTTGGTTTTAATGTTTTAAACCTAATGGAAAAAGAAAAAGCAAAAAACAGTATCAATTATAGCCATACACTACTAGAAGCTTTTAATAAGTGTTGTTTTATGAAATTGATGCTAAAAGCCTTGGGGCTGTGCTGAAGTGCCACACACATACTCAACATATTTTGATTCGGTGTCCTATTGTTCTACAAGATGTTTTATGGTTTCTTAACTAAAAGCCCCAATTATCAGAAGTTACTCGGCATAACAATATTTTATGACCAGAGGCTTGGATGGGAAATGGTGGTATGTGGAGTGGTTCTTCTGAACCATTCTTTTGCTGCCCTTGTTATTCTCACTTGCCAAACAACTCTCTTGGGTTGTGAAATAACATTTCTTGTTATATTACAACCTATGAATTCTTACATTTCTCTTGATTTTTGTTTTGATGCAGACTTCTTATAATTTATAGAGACGGTTTTATTACATTATGGGCAATTCAGGAAAGTAAAGCCAGTTTCACAACTGGCGGAACTATGATGCAATCAGTTTGTCATGAAACAAAGAAAGTAACAGCTGCATGTTGGGCTTGCCCTTTTGGAAGTAAAGTAGTTGTTGGATATAGCAACGGAGAGATTTTCATCTGGAGCATTCCTTCTACCTTAGATTCAAAGACTGAAGTAGCTTCCAATAAAGAGTGGTGCACCACTCAAAGTGTTCCTATTTTTAAACTGAATCTTGGATATAAATTGGACAAAACCCCTATAGCATCATTAAGGTGGGTTTATGGTGATGGAAAAACAAGTCGATTATATATAAGGGGCGTCTCTGACCGTGTATCTACAAACTTGTTGCAGGTATTTGAAGTTCTTGCTATATATCTGTTCCTTTGTGATATACATTGCAGTTTTCGATTTACGAGTTCTTATTTCTACATATGATTTTGCATAATAAACTTCAATTCTTCACAACTGGCTGCTTGAGATTAACATGCTTTCTGTTCTAAATTGTCACCTAATTGCTTTCTCTTTTATAGTTATGTTTAACCAATCAGGGGGATTATATTAAAACCAACTTTGTCAACTCTAAATACAACCTTTCAAGAAATTTATTTTCAATATGCATGTTGCTTTTAATTACATTCTGCACAAAAAATTGTCTATCATTTATAACATGGTGTGGCAGGTAATTATAATGAATGAGCATACTGAATCTCGCACAATTAAGTTGGGGCTTCATCCACCTGAGCCTTGTGTTGACATGGAGATCATTTCGAGTTTCAATGAACAAAGCAAGCATAAACAAGATTATTTCCTTCTGCTTGGGAGATCAGGTCATGTTTATGCCTATGATGATTGTTCAATTGAAAAATATTTATTACAGTCCCAATCTAGATCCCCACCATCACTTCCAAAAGATGTCATGGTAAAGCTGCCATTTGCTGATTCAAGTATCACAATAGCGAAACTCGTAGCAGACAATCCATTTTTTTCATGCTCTGCCGATGAGGTAAACAAAGTCTTATTACTAAATGCATTTTTATCTTCTAATTAATATATGTTCATTATTAATTGTTCTAGAGATTTACAGTTTTTCTGGTTACGCAGGACTGCACTACGATGGCTAAAAGTAGTCCTTCGCTTTTTCCATTTGAGTCAAGGCAAAAAGATGGAAATCAATGGAATTCAGGACACTTCAGTGGTTTTTCGAAAATTAGGAACCTGTACATAACTGGACACAGTAATGGAGCCATAAACTTTTGGGATGTATCATCCCCATTTTTGCTTCCAGTTGCATCATTAATTCAGCAGGTAATTTCTCATAATTGCACTACCTAATTTCGGTTACAAGTGGGATTGTATTTCAACAAAATGAAAGAACTGTCACTTCTTAATGCCATCTTTACACTCTTATTGTCAACATTATTCCTCTTTAATATCCTTTGGCCAAGTAACCTCTACTTAAGCATGCCACTTGAGTTAGAATCAGATGCATACTTTTTCTTTTACTGCTAAACAAATGATTGTTTAGAGATCTTGAGAGCATAGAGCAGAAGAGGATCCTATAATAACTGAAAAATAGGAGTTTCCTATTAATACCAAAATCTTTTTGACTGACTGGGGCATGTCAAGAGGTTCATGCTTATGAAGAAGAACGTCAAGAGGTCTATTTATACTTCTTTTGAGGGAGGCCTTTTTTGGTCTCTTCTATAGGACCTTCTGTAATCTGTATTTCTTTTTTCAACTTATGCCACTGGAAACGTAATTCTCATTTCAAAAGATAATTAAATAGACAACAGGATTCATCTAAATGAAAAGTGGATATTAAAATATAAAGGACAAGCGAGATTCTAAGATGAGAAACACCTACCTTTATTTTTTTTTCTTTTTCTTTTTTGAGTTTATTTCAAATGCTTATTCTGTTTATTTTCTCATCATGCAGTCTGATGATGACTTTTCTTTAAGTGGTGTGCCGCTGACAGCATTATGTTTTGATTACAACTCAAAGCTCCTCATTTCTGGAGATCAAAGCGGAACGGTAAAGTGTATCTGCTGATGAATCTATGGAAATATATTGACTTGATTTTGTATTCTGGAAATGGTGCAGTGGTTTACTGACAAATTGTTAGCAGGTCCGGATTTTTAAATTTAAACCTGAGCCATTCACCACAGGGAGCAGTTTTATATCCCTACAAGGTATTAATCACATAATTTTATCATGTATTTCTCAATTAAATGTCTCCTTACAACATAAACTAGTTGTTGTTATTTTCTGTAACTAGTTCTTGGAGGGATCTGATGGGATATGATTGTACAATGCCTAATTCTTATTGTGATTATTATTGAGGCTTAGCTAAAGAATGGTTTCTAACAGAAAGATTGGTAGCCATTGTTTCTTATCAGAAGTTTCAAGAATCTCAAATGTTCTGAAAAATTCTCTCTTTCTGTGTGTATATGTAAGAGAAAATGTTGTATACGCCCATAAACTAGTTGTAACGTGCTTGTATCAATTTTATAGTACATAATTGCGGGCTTCAACAAAATTAACAGCCTAATATGATTCAACATCCAAAAATATATTATTTTTTTTAATAAACTTATGAGATATTCCATTGTACTGGCTATTATTTTATAGTAATGAATCACAATTAGGGCTATGCGTATCCACGATATGGAAGTATATTTATAATTTTTTGTCTGAAATGTTCATTTATTCAAAAAAATTGTCTGTAATGTTTATTTATTCATTTTTTTAGTAGAATAATGGATTAAAATACTCCGAAAACAACCACATCTTGCAATTTCTTTGTGACAATGTACATTTTTATTGCCAGGAAGTTCAAAGAAAGGAAGCAGTCACTTCATCCATGGCGTTAAACTTGTGAAAATTAATGGAGCTGTACTTTCTGTAAACATAAACAGCAGTTCAACACATCTTGCTGTTGGGTGTGATCAAGGATATGTAAGATATTTTTTCTCTTTTCTGTTCTTCATGCCTTAAACTCTCTAATGTCATGTCCTCAACAAGTTGTGGTTGCTTTGACATTCAACTTTGGCAAACCTGGATATTTTGAAAGGTTGAAAGTATAAACTGATTTCGTAACCACTTAAAGATGGATGGCAATTCTTAAGCACATTTAGTCAATTGTTAATTAATCAAATATTGGAGGAATCTTGATATTTTTAAACTTAAATGATGATAAGTGGAACAAATAGTACCATTGGTGAAAATTGTGTAGAAATTTGGGTTTAAGTTTGAGCAACATAGCGGTTAGGTTCTGAATCATACATGTGAAGTTGATAAGAATCTTCTACTTAACACAATCAGCCCTATGCTTGAGAACAACAGCTACTTAACACAGTAAGAACTAACAACTATGAATTCGTTATCAGATACAAATGATAACGGTTTCTTTAATTCTACTGTCAAGAGAAACCAAGTGAATAATTCCTTTATAAACTTGCATAACCTCTTATCTTTTAGTTATTGTTTTTATTGTTTATATTTGGAGGTGTTGGGAGGGGGACAGTTGCAGTTAGTTAAAAGTTGCCAGCCTATCAGACTAAATTGATGTTTCTTAATTAGAAATTCATTCACTTAAATGTTACCATTGCTAATCAGGATTTGGGCATATGAAATCCTTACACATACCTCATATATGTCAACTCTTTTTGCTTGCAGGTTTCATTAATTGATGTGGAAGGGCCCTCTCTATTATATCAGAAACATATTGCAAGTGAACTGTGTACAGGTGTCATCTCTCTGAAGTTTGAAACCTGCAGTTTCCATGGTTTTGAGAAGAGTGTATTGGTGGTGGCAACAAAGGATTCATCAGTTTTGGCCCTTGAGATAGATACAGGAAACACTCTTAGCTCTAGCATGGTCCATCCAAAGAAACCTTCAAGAGCTTTATTCATGCAGATTTTGGGTAAGATGGTCATTTTTCAGCGTTTTGAATTGTCCCTTGCAAGACTAGGTATATCTGATGAAAAAGACCATGCACATGGATAACTTCCAATCATAATCTCTTGGGAATGATACTTAGGCCAACATCATTATCAAATGAGAAAACCATTTTTTAATGTTGTACAGATGGACAAGATGCATCAGGCAGAGGGTCTAATAAATTGGACGGCCTAGACTCGAGCAAGGGGAACTCATTGGATGAATGCAAGCAGTCATCAATATTGTTATGTTCCGAGAAAGCTGCTTACATCTATTCCTTAGTGCATGCAGTTGAGGTAATAATTCTATAGTTATGCAGGCACTTGTCGTACAAAGAACTGCTATAGCTGATACTTGCTATATTTTTTCCCCCTTTTTTTCCAGGGTGTTAAGAAGGTGCTGTACAAAAAGAAGTTCCATTCTTCTTGTTGCTGGGCATCAACATTTTATTCTCCTTCTGATATTGGCCTCATACTTTTCTTCTCTAGTGGAAAAATTCAAATTAGGTGACAACCCTTTTCTATGTATTTTCTGAATTTACTACTTTATGTTAATAACAGAGAATCTATATTATCCAGGAGTGAAGAGTCATCCAATTTTCTTATAACCTAGATACAAGCGTAAATCTTCATATTTCACATGAGAAGAAAATGATCACCAGGTTACGGTATTTGTCAGACAGTGCAATCTTCTCATGATCACTCATATCATACCCTGTTGCATTTTTTTTCCTTTTTTTTTCTCCAATGTATCAGAATACCATCATCTCCTTATAATGCATCGGTGCAGCATAAAATGATGCAACATTTTCATTTCATGGTGAACCACCAAATATGTCAACATATACTCCAAAATAATTTCATGAGCTAGACTTAAAGGGATTTAAAGTGGATAGTGAGACCTTAACTTTCTAAATTTCTGTTTTGTTGGTAGTGTATCACAGAAGTGTTTAAATGCATATACACCTGACACTACTTTTTGCAATTTTAGGTCCCTACCAGAATTGTCTCTTTTGAAGGAAATTGCAATTGGAGGTCTCACATTTTCAACTCCAAAACCGAATTCAATTTCTGAAATTTCAGTGTGCTCTTCAAGGGATGGAGAACTTATTATGGTATTACAGCATAGCTATGTAATAAAAGTATATTTCTTCTTTAGACACAGTATTTGGAATTTTACATCAACTGCTGTTCCCTCCCAATACAGGTAAATGGTGATCAGGAGATCTTTATGGTATCAGTTTTGCTTGAAAAGCAAATATTTAGGTATGCACATGTGGCCGGAACTGTTTCCTTTTTATTTTTATTTTTATTTTTTCGTTCCTTGTAATCAATTTCCAATCAATACCTTTGTGATCCATTTTGGGGTTGGGGAGGAGGGGGGCTATTCACCATCTTCTATAATCTCACAGCTTATTTATGAATAACCTTCTTAACAATGATTTCCAAATTCAATGGATTCTATTGATAACCAGCATTCAGAACTCATCCAAATAACAGCACCCCCTAAAATCCTAAACACACATATATATGGGGATAAGAAATTTTTTAACCATAGGAATTTTGTCCCGACCTAAGATCAAGTATACAAGGAGTAAACAATGATCATTTGTTATTAGTTGTCTAGGTAGCCGATCTTAACTTAGAGAAGTCCAATCTGAGCTTCATGATCATTCTCACTGTTATGGGGACACGGCCTCGTGTTCTATGTGGTGCAGCATTTTGGAAGTGCTATCTCTTATTCTCTATATTGATTGTGTGTTTTCTTGGTGCTTGTCATTTTATGCACGAAAAAATTTCAGCTTGTTGGTGGATCTATACTTTTTTGAAACTGAGGGACAAAAAATTGATGAAGTCTATAACCACCACCAGCATGGTGATTCATGATGTGCACTATTAATTTATTTTCCATTCTAGGCGTATGGATTCTTTCTGTCAAGTTTACAAGGAAAATCTGATGGTCACACAGCAAGGGCTTGTTTCTGCACCCGTCATCAATAAAGAAAAGAAAAAGGTAGAGCATGTGCTGAAAAATGTCTGAACTTTATCCCGGAATTGGTACATGTGGTACTAAACAATTTTAATGACATTTGGGGCTATAGGGTATATTTAGTTCTATCATCAAGGATATGAAGGGAAGCAATGTAAACCTTGCACCTAACGTAGAAGCTGAAGTTACAAGACCAAGCAATGAAGAATTGTCAACGATCTTTTCAGTTGCTAATTTTCACTCAAATGCTGAAGACAGAGAAAAGGTTGCCACGGATGAAGATGACATTGAATTGGATATAGGTATCTTCTTTCTACACTTGATACATTCTATTATAATAATAATAATAATAATAAAATAACAAAATACAATAAAATAAAACTTAAAAGAGTTTAAGATGATGCAGGGTCAGACATGGGAAGCTTGGGCTCATTTCCTCGGCAATGATGTTTCCTACTTTTTATAAATACCTTTTTTCCATTTTAGCTCAAAAGAAAGTTGTTCTTTTTGTTTCAAATGAAGGACCCGGTGATCCAAGAGTAAATTCTGCAAAGAAAATATTTGTGTTTTTATGTTTTTACCTTATTATTTGAGTCTTTTGTGTAGCAGACAAACTCTTGGATGGTTAAGAATCCTAATTCATGAATATTTGTTAGATTTCCCACCTCATTTTTCATTTTCATCTCACGAAGCCACTCTTTCTTCCTCCTCTAAAAGCTTATGTTGGCTGAATTGCTTAGAGAGCCAACCACATTAACTTTTTTCATTTTTATTTGCGAAGATGATATTGACCTTGAAGATCCAGGAGAAAAACCGAAAGGACATCCCATGATGGCAGCACTAAACAAACAGAAATTGACTAGCAAATTCCAGTCATTAAAAGGTCAGTACAAGCTGATAGATACCTTTATCGGCATCTGTGGAACTTTATTTATTAACTTCCAAATTCACTGCGACTTTTTTTTGTGACTCCTGTTTTGCTCATTCTAATTTAAATATGTTACTGCTGTAGATAGAACTTTTCATTCTTGAAACTGTTATTGATTAAATTCCTTTCTATAGATTTGTTTAGCAGTTTCCTTTCTTTCCCAGTTTTTCCAAGCTATATTTGTTTTCCTATTTCACCATGTTCATCTCCTTCTCAAAACATGAATTCTCTCTTGTAGACTAAAAATTTGCACGTTACTGATTTTTTCTGTATGGACTTTAAAAACTATATGCATAGATGTTTTTAATAGGCACTAATTATCAGCTACATTCAGTAAAGATGTCTCTGATCAATTGATAAGCAGACATTGCATGCACAGACCTATTTGCTGTCTTGATATTTTACCAGATACTTTCCAAATTTGTTTACAATGTATATGGGGTATTGGGGACTCTGCAGTTGGATCCTATCTTCTACATATTTGTGTTCATGCTTGCGTATATATAACTAAGGTCAAGGTTTCCTTTGAGAAACTAATTGGAGAACATGAATATTTCAATTGTTACTTTGAAGAATGAATAGTTGTCTTTACCCTGAGGGTGTGTTCGGTTGCATGGAATCGGAGCTTTGGAATTGGAATTGGAGAAAAACAACTAAGAAAATTGAACCAAAATTTTCTCCAATTCCAAGGCTCCAACTAATTCAATGCAGCCGGACATAACCTGATGTTAAAAGCAATTCCGTATAAGCGTCACTCTGCTTTGCTGGACCAAGGTCCAAGGAGATACATGGGAAATGTCAAAATCATATGGCATGACCGAGATGGTCATCAAACTTGTGTGTCAACATTATGTCTCATATGGTTCGACCGTAACTATATTGTCCTTATGCAGAAGGTAGTGCAGGAAAGTGTTTCAAAACCAATGTCACGACCTATTTTTTGGCAAGCACAAAGTGTTCATAGTCATTCTAGGTACCAATGATGATTTGTATAGCATGGTCGTTCTTGGCCAGAATAAGAGATACATGTTTTCACCACTGCCCAATTGCCTCGAGAATAAAAAGCACAAGCTAACTGCAGTTGGCTTTTTCAACATTCCAAATTTGATAAACTAGTTTAGTGAAACATTTGTCTGGTGCTAAGTCTTGAAAAGGTGAAAATTATGTTACCATGACCATCTACAGTAGATTTTGTGTTTCTATTTGTCCCTATTTTCCGACCAAGCATTTTTTGAAGTTCTGTTTGTTCAATAAATTTTTTAGTGTTATGTGTTGTCTAGATTGTATACTTTCCTATGTTTAGATGTATGAGCCTGATGAAATTATAATTTTACAGGTAAGTGGAAACAAGTTAAGGTCAAAAATGAGAAAGCTTCACCAAAGGAAGACTTACAAGATGAAAAGGCTGGTGCAGTTGATCAAATTAAGAAGAAATATGGATTTACTATGTCGGGGGTGAGTATGCTTCCACATAAATCATTTATACTGTAGTGTCATGTACTGTTCAGAAGATTATGATTTAACTCGACAAGAACTGCACCCATTAATCAACTTATTCTTGTTGAGTTGGTTGATTCTGGGACCGATCCATACATTTAAACCTGAATAAAGGCTATCTTGACATTTAGTCTCGGGCAACTTTTTCTGCTCATGCAACTTCAACATACTGATTAGGATAAGCACATTGTTTTTTGCCTACGGGGTTTGAGCCTTGAACCCTTGACCTTCTACTTTAGAAGACGAGGAAGTAGCACTAGGCTATTGCCTTTGGTAATTTGTCACTTCTGTTGAAAATTCAGCTATCATTTATTGTTGTAATGACTGTGGTCATGAATCATACTGCCTTTGCATTTTCGTAATATTGTTTTATAAGAAACACAAATTTGAACTATGATTCTGAGTCAATATTAGTTGTAGGAAAAATTATTTTGCTATAATAGTTAAATTTCTTATTTTATGCATATACATAATAATTTCCACATGTATCAATTTTACTAGGATTGCTAAATCAAATTGCTTGTGGATCTGTCGGTGCCAAAAGAAAGATTGGAATCTTTATAAGCTTTGCAGCATCTCGTGCCGTTTATATTAGTTTATAAGCTTTCCACGTTTATATTATTCTGCAAGATAGAGTGACCTTATAATTTATACATTTCCTTTGGGTGCAGGAATCAAGTGTTGCAAAAATGGCACAAAGCAAGCTGAATGAAAATTTGAAGAAGTTACAGGTATCCTAAAAAGTTATCATTTACAGACTCTCTGTGCAAATTATAATTATCCAAGAATGAAAAGTTCAATTTGTTCACATCATCCGACAAAATTTTCTTAAATTTTTTTTTTCCCCACCAACGGTAATCCCATGTGAAGAATACTCTTCTAGATGATTTTCGTATGTACCCATAAAAAATTGAATCCCCCTGATAACACCTTTAATAAAATCCCGGAATTTTACTAAACTGGCCAAATCCATAGAAGCTTCGTCTTACAAAGGATAAATTCCTAAGAAGGGTGAGGGATGCTTTATGGATAATTGTCTTCTCATCGCTGTTCTAGATGCCGGTCGCCATTGGGCAGCATATGATGTTGGGATGTGTCCACATGAGGAGGAATATGCCTTAGTAATATATGTATGATTGGAAATGATGTGCAATGCAAATTGACCTGTTGTTATACTTATATTCTTCTTGGTACCATTGTAATATATACCTGAGGCTTTGCTTGATTGGGTGTGGGCAGGGCATCAGTCTCAAAACTACGGAGATGCAGGACACAGCTCGGTCATTTTCTTCTATGGCTAAGGAGGTGCTGAGATCTGCCGAACATGATAATAGAAGAATGCCATGATCTCTACAGAATGCATGCATATAAATTTTCGAGATTTTGTGTATGTGTGTGTGTGTGTTTTTCTGTTAATTCTTTTGCATCATCATTCATTTTCTTGAAGATTGGGAAGCAAAGTGTATGTGCAGCCGTGTCTTTGCAGATTTGGTCTTTTCATAGATTTGTAAAGTATAATTATTTCTTTATTTTATTTTAATTTTATTTTATAACTGGTTGGTTTACGTTCATTTGGTTTTGTCAAAATTTGCTCCATGCCTCTGGTTCTGGTTGTGGTAGGGTTCTCAAATAAACATGATTTTCACCAAGTTAGTTGCTATTCAAGTTATAAAATTCGTTTGGTCATTTGAAACTACATATTAAAATTAAAAATTGATGGATCATGCTATCATATTTCACACATGAAGCAAATCTTGTACAAAAAAATATAAAAAAACATTTGTTTCGTTTTAAGGTTAACTACTTATATAACCACCTTAACATACTAAGAGACTTCTAAATCCACTCAACTCTTGGTTACTCGTACGGTTTAAATCAAAACAAATAATAACTCCCGTTCTCTCTACAAGGAAAAGATATTGAGTGTGCCTAGTGCACCGTGCTTATTCGAGTCGTACATGCACAATGTGTGCGGACGTACAAAACATTTACGGCTCTAATGAGCGTCAGAGCCAAGTAGCGCACCCAATATCTATTCCTCTACAAGGTCCTACTGCCGGCCTCTAAAACAGAGGTGGAAGGGATTCACAATGCAAAACACAAATCTGCACAATTTGATTCCTGACTTTCTTCTAATGCCAACTGTATCCAAAATTCCAAATGTGACTTCCGCTACCAGACAAGGTAGATTCTTGCTTCAACTATTTGACCCAGACTGGTATCAAATTAATCCAGATAGAGAATGAAAATATTGTTACAAGATGATTACCAATGATTTCTTTGGACCACAGCTACAATGATTTAACCCTGTGCAAATAATTAGCAACAAAATTTAATTGAAGAAAGAACCATGCTTATTGGGATGGGACCCAAATAAAATAAAAGACAATTTATCATTGATAGTGATGAATTTCACCAACCACATAGTACACTATGTGAGAAATCATTATTGGATAGGATTTTAATTCTATACACGCATGCCAAATTGTTAGATATGCCAGTGCATAGCAAGAGGATTTAATTCTACACACACATGCCAAATTGTTAGATATGCCAGTGCATAGCAAGAGGATTTAATTCTACACACACATGCCAAATTGTTAGATATGACAGTGCAAAGCAAGACCACAAGTTGGGAGATTCTTTGATCAATCTTTTGACCAAGAACAGGATAGAAGATATTTTACAAAAGCAATATAGATATTTTCATAAGTCACCAATAGAGGAATTGAGACATTGAATGGGAACAACCCATAATATTCAACAGAAAATAAACACTAGATTAATCATTGAAGTTTAAGAACAACATGGAAATACATAGCCATATTGATGAGTTTCATGAAACTCAGAAACTAATTTTTTTTTAGCCCCTAAAAAAGAAAAATAAAAAAAACAACTATTATCAAGATAAACTAACGGATGAAAATGACTGGGTCAACATATTCTGGAAATCCTTATCCTACACAACTTGCTCCCGAAATCTACAAGCAAGCAATTTACTCATCATCATCTTCTTCCTGCAAAAAACAAAAACAAAAAACAACCATTAATCAAACAAATTAGGGCTTTTAAAGCCATCAATTTTTGCAATTATCCACACCTCTCCACTCTCATCTTCGTCATCCTCATCGTTCACCTCGGACCTCGACTTGTCGGACTCTTCCTCATCATCAGCTGCATTTGCTCCCTCAGCCTATTATATAGACAGACATTAACTGATATTTTAGAAACAGAACGCTACTGAGTATAAACAACCCATAAAAATAAAATGTATAGCATTCTTTTAGCTTGTTGCAAGTCCAATGTATGCCTATGGACTATATTACTTTTTATCTAAAGAAAAAAATCATTCAGAGCAAACGAATCAACTCCATATAATATGATTAACCCATAAACTAAAAAGTATAGCCTTTTTTTCTTATAGAATATTCTGAGTTATTTGTTTTGAACAATAGCTTATTGAAAGTCCATTGTAAGCCTCTGGCTATATGTACTTTTATTTAAGAAAATGAATAATTCAGAGCAAGCAAAAAGATACTACTGCTAATTATATGATTGACCCATAAAACTAACATGAATAGAGCAAAGTTTTTTTTAGTGTAAGCCTCTGAACCATTGTTCTAAATAAACAATGGGTTATTGTAGGTTTCTGGACTATATTACTTTTTATTAGTAGAAATTGAATAATTCAGAACCAAAAAAACACTACAGATCAAATGAAGAACAAATACAACTAAAAAACAATACCATTTTCTTGTTGTAAGCCTGGAGGGTCTTGTTATATTCAGTCTTCCTTTTTTCTGCCTTTGCTACATATGGAGCTTTGTCCTGTATTTGAAACAAATATACAACAATATAATTGAATAAAAATGTGAACTTTAGCTCTAACTAATAAATCTGAACCGGAAATGAGAAATATTTTTCCAGATAATTTACTCACAGCTTCCGACATGGATTTCCATTTATCTCCACCAGCTTTACCAACCTAATCGTAGAAAATAATGCATAATCACAACAATAATTACAAAAAGGAAAAGGGAAGAAGAAGTAAAACAACAGATTCAAAACACAAAAGTCAACAAAATTGAATTAAATTTGTAGATCTGAAGAGATAACAAATACATACAACGGAGACAGATTTGTTGTTAGGGTGCTTCTCCTTGAAAGTCTTCCTAAATTCCTCCCTAAATTCACCAAAATTGAAAGAAAACATTTTTGAAAACGCCAAATAATCGATATTATAAACTACGAATCGATTGAATGAAACAGTAATGATGTAATATCGAAACACAGATCTAAGAAAATATATACACAGAAATGATACATACATGAAAACGAAGAAGGCGCTCGCAGGCCTCTTGGGCTTGTTGGGATCCTTCGCAGCCTTCCCTTTCTTGGCCGGCTTCTTGCTGGCCTTTTCGCTCGGTGCTCCTCTCTTCTTCACCGACAACCTAACAACAAGTCCAGAAAAATACGAAGCGCAATCAGCCTTCGTCGTCGATTCCCACTGGCACGCCGTTAGATATACACACACATACATAGAAAACATATATATATCACAGATCTGTAACACCGTAACTCCAACAGATCACCAAAAACGAATGAAAACAAAAACTCACTTGCTATCAGTTTTTTTCGTTTCAGCCTTCGACCTGCCTCCTTTCATGGCGAATCCTGCAGGAAAAACGACGAAAACCGGTGAGAATCGGTCGGAAACGGTGGGAATCGGTGCGGACTCAGTCCGAGTTAGCGCCGCTTGGGGCTTGAACACGTACCTTCTAGGGTTAGAGAGAGAGTATAGAGAGAGAAAGTGTAAAATGTTTGTGTGTGGTGTGAGGGAGAGGGTGTGTGTGGAAGAGGGAGATAAGTAGGGGCTTTGGGGGATATAAAACTTGAATTGACGAATCGATTCAAGTCCGGGTTTGGGCGGGATTTCAAAATTTGTTTTGCCACGTCATCGATCCGTGTGCTCTGATTCTATTGGTTGTTTTCCTATTCCTGGGATGTGAATTTGGGGTATTGTCTCTCTCTTTGTGCTTTCCTTTGTGTTTCTTCCAAGTCTTTGGCCTCGGGTTCTTTTTCTTCCTAGCCAAACAGTACCACGACGTGTCCCTATCTGGAGGACACTACTAGTCTTTAAGCTTTGACCCACACGTGTTATCCTTCACACGTATTAGGTAAGTGTAGTTATCTACTAAGATTTTTTAATAAATTAAATGCATTTATATTAATCAAATATGAATAAATGTCAATCACTTACCAAATGAATAAAAATAAGTGTCAAGTAAAATTTGAAGTGAGAGGGATTTATTTATAATTGAACACTTAAATTCACATAAGTGTTTAAAAAAAAAAAAATTATGATCAGCACTTAAAATTCAAACATATTTGTGTTTTTATTCATTGATTTTTTTTAACTGAATTTTTTATAAAACAATTTTGAAAAAATTGAACCAAACCCACTTAAATAATCAAAGCAGAGCTAGAAATTAAATTCAAAGCCATACTGTAAAAAAAATAAATAAATAAAAATAAATAAACATGACAACAAATATAGATTCTTCAAATCAAGATACAAATTAAAAAAAAAACAAAATTATTGCAAAATAATATGTCAAACAATGAGTTGTATACTAATGAACAGTTGATAAAAATTTTAACAATGAAAGAAAAATTAGAGAACTTTGGAAGGGAGAAAAAAAACATAGAGTTTGATTCAAAAAGGAAATCTTAACATTTTTTTTAAGGAAATTAAAAGAACTTAATGAATAAAAGAGAAAAGAAGTAAAAACTGAAAGGCATAATTTTAGAAAATAAAAATTTTAGACGAGCATTATACTAATTTTTTCACACGTGCACATATTTAAAAAATCCTAAATTTAGTATATATTTATAATATACTAGCCCGGCAAATAATCATTTATAATTTTTGTCATTTAAAAAATAATTTGTTGTTTACTTGATCCTGTCGAAACGATTAAGAAGTCATTAATATATATATATATATATATATGAATTTTGCTCCATTGTTCTCTGCAATAAGACATATATTTATGGTAAGAATTAGGCTGTGTTTGTCCCACGTGGATTTGTTGTTTTTACAACATTTTAGTAGTTAGCGAGGTGGTTCATTTCTTGAAATCTAACAAAGGCAAAAATGGTTATATAGCTAGATGTGGCAAAAACTTATGATATTTTCAAGAAGATGATGTCTTGCTTTAAATGGAAATGGGTGAAAAAAGTATTTGCGGTTTGTGTCCTACTGTTTTTTATTCAGCTATGCTCCATGGTGTATTTATTTTTAATTTTTTTATAATCTTTTTATTAAGTATGGATACAAACACGAGTTTCTAACCTAATAAGATATAAATACGATTGCATATTTTTGTATAAATTAGATTACTCTTAAGCTTTGATTTGCCCATTGTTATAATATAAGTCACACAATCCTTCTCAACGGATATCGCTCTATTGGCTCAAATTATTACTATTTATGATTTAATTTTGTTACTCTCACACGCCCTCGCTCTCGAATTCGCTTTATCTTCTATTCTGCTTTATATGACTTATATGACAAATTTGAGCTTGATATGGAAATGTACTGTGATTGCATAACTCAAGTTATTTTACTATTTTTAATGAATTTTGATATTTATTGCATTAAAAGCATTTGATGATTAACACTCAAAATTCAAACACATAAATTCGAGCTCCTAAATTTTCTTATTATTTATTTTTGGTTGAATTAAACAATATTTAAGCTAATTTTGTGCATTTTCATCAAGTGCCTAAGCAAAACTTTGGTTCTCTTTCAAAAGTTAATATTGTATTCAGATATTTATAAAAGACAGATTCAAACTTTTTTATATCTGAGTTTTTAAAAAATTGCAACCAAATAAGTTTTTATATAATTTTATATATTCTTTTAAAATATAAATTTATTATCAGAAATTTGAACCAAGGGAGCCCCAATTCTCCAATTGAAATTTATAAATTGTACGGTCATTGCTCTTTGTAATATGATTTATAAATTTTTAAAATGTTTTTATGGTACTAATTAGGAGAAACTATTACATAGAATCGGAATCTTGATCAATCACTTGCTGATAGCATTATATTACTTTTTATTTATGTGTCATCACTTGATTAACTGGGATTAATAATCTCGAGACCGAATAATAATTCTTCAGAAATTAGAGTGTACACGTCGCACATGAATTTATTTTTTTACAACATTCTACATGTCCGCTCATAAGGTAGTTGATTTATTGAGCCCAAGTGGAGAGGCAAGAATAGTTTTATACGACAATCAAGCTAGATATTATTATGGCAAAGACTTATGGTATGGTTGAATCATGGAATGGCTCTATTTCTAAGGAAGATGATGTGTTGCTTTAATTAATAATGGATGAAAGTAGTTTTAAGTCGTGTCTCTTTTTGTGTGGAGGGACTTTAAAAAACCAATTTAGTAAAAGCACAAAAAGATGTGTGGTTAGTTGTTGTGGGGGTTAGATCAAACAGACATACTCCTTTTGTTACTCATCTTTTTGTATGAAGATGATGCACTTTTGTTGACACACCAGATAGGCACAATATATATATATATATATATATATATATATATATAGATGCATATTTGAAATTGAATGAGATCTTTGTTGAATATTACGCGCTTGTCATGCGTTTTATTTTTGACTAAAACACAAACAGTGTATAGACTGTAAGAATGTATTGGAAAAAAGTGAAAGCACGGTTAGGAACAATATTTTGTTATAAAAATGTCGGAAACAAAAACATGCACAGTTATGGTTTTGAGTCATGATCAGTTATCAAAATAAGAAAAAACATTTTTTTGGTGTTTTGATTTTGGGCACTATTTACGAAATGTTTTAGCACTGTATAAAATAAAATAAGGTTGTACCAAACATACTTTTGTTGCCAAAATTGACACTATAGCAGCCCAAAAACAAAAGTAGCAGAAACAACACGCATGTCAAAGGGGGCCTAAGTGTTTTATCTACAACAAAACAATATTGATAAGTTATATGTAATCTTCTACGAAAACACTCTTGACAATGAAAAATTATATAATTGATGACTTCGTTCACTTGATTATACAATTTGTGTTGTAATAATTAATGACCGACATAAATGGATAAAAATAAATGGAGCATTATTCCTTAAACTTGTCAGGAGAGAGCTGGTAAATGAATTTAATTTTGATATTTGAGCTTGATGTTAACTAATGGAAAAGATCGAGCTCAAATAATCCTTAAGTTAGTTGGAGTTAGAATTTACATTGGCACTGAATTTGAATTTTTAAATAAATAAAAAGCCACAATTACTCTTCAAAAGTGGAGTGCTATGATTTTTTCTTAAAAGTTTAAATGATTTTTTGCAAGTGCAGGGCATATGGATTGTAAATCTAATCGCCCTTTTTTCCCATGGTAGAATCAATTTAGCGTGAGCAACTCTATGATGTGATCTTTAAAAAATATTTTTAATCAAAATATTTTTTTAAAATTTTTATATAAAAAAAAGTCTATTACAAATTCACAACAAAATGAATTGAACCTCGTGACACATGCACCTTTATACTAAGTTATTATTAAACTTTATAAAAAGCAAATCGACATAAGGAATCAACTTTTGTTGTTTGACATTTTTGGCGCGCCTCGATCTCACAGCAGCTACTGCGTTCTTAGGTGTCATTTTCATTTTTATTTTTATTTTTATTTTTATTTTTATTCTTTTCTGTTATTGCATTATTGCTGAGTGGTATATTCCTATCCCTGTTTCAAAGGTTAATCAAGTAAATATGTTGCCTCAATTAATATCTCTATTTTCTTTCCCCACTCATATGATATTAAAAATTAATTTATAATACAAATATCTTTGATAACTACAGGTGTTATTTCAATATATATCTTTGCCAACGCATGGTTTTGATAACAAGAATAAAAAAAATATCCCACTCATTCAAAGCAATGGCTACATTTTGGAGTTGATATAATTTTTTTTTTGGGTAACAAAATCTTATCTCCTTACCTTTTCTTCACAATAATTTATGGCCAATTAAATGGAAAATTCCTACATAAAAATTGTTTGTATAATCATAACAACAATTTTAGGATAAATTTGACTTACCTCCCTTAAAGTTTGTCAATATCCCACATAGGCTACTCTACATTTTATAATTTCACTTACCTGCTCTGTTAGTGACTTTTTTACCATTTTGCCCATGAAATATATGATGTCATTTCAAACCATAATCCACAATCATATTTGCAGGGGCGGAGCCACAAATTTTTATTTGGGGGGGGCCAAACTAAAAAATATATGTTTTGAAATTTTTTGAGGGGCCAATTACAATTTTATATAAATTTTAGGGAACACAATAAGGGTATTTATATAAAATAATAATTTCAGTAGGGGTATAAAAAGGAAATAGAATTTTTTTTTTCGCGCACGGGGGGGGGGGGGGGGGGGGATGGCCCTGCTGGCCCCCTCTAGCTCCGCCCCTGCATATTTGGGTCATGATTTACAACCGAATTCGAATCCATATAAGATAATTAATATATAAAATCAAATCATGACACTAATATGTCATATGCTTAATTTTGGTCAAATGTTGGTTTATTTCAAAATTTTCTATATGTAGTTTTGATTTGCATACATGATTCCATGTATGACGTTAAAACATATTTTTAATCTAATCTCAGTTCAAACTCGTTCCATTTCAAACCACACTTTTTCTTGCAGTATCTCTCCCGCTTCTTTTCTCCCTACCAAACATAGTTGCAAAGCAGGCTTCACGCTAATCATTAATTTTCGCCGATGTATCTCATAAATAATGGTTGTAAGTGATGGGTTCGTAGCATGACATAATAAATAGTAATGATGGGCATAATACAAGTTATGGGACCCAAAACGATCCTATATGAGGATGATAAGGAGACCAATCAAAGAAGTTTATGGTGAAGGACAAAGAGTAAATGGGTTAAGGTTATTGTCAAAATTGGTTGCTTGAGCTATGTCTTTAATACTCCACCGTGTATGTATTCATAATAATAGGTTCCTCACTTAATATACAGGGTTTGACTAAGTTTTACCCAACACTTGGGATCATAAGTCATGATTAAACCAAATGTACATTTTATACCTATTGGGTCCAATCATTCATTCTGTTTCGCCCCAGGGTGACAGCGGCGCATTAAATGGTAATGTAGGTATTAAATTCATTCGGGTTTTTGACAGCAACGGTAGTTGAGTATTAATGGTCAGACTATAACATTAATTGTAATGGTGAGGGTTTTGTCGTGACACATTTTTCACCACTCCCTTAGATGGGCCCATTATTTGTGACATATTTGAACTTCTCATTTACCATCCAAAAATTCTTCTAAGTGACACAGAGAATAGTTATTTTGGTGTCTGAGGGATCTTACATGTGTTCATTCGACATCATTAGCTCCCGTTCACTATTTTTTGTTTTGTTTGTATTTGTTAAAAACTCGGGGTTTGCTTATTGAGATTAACACTTGAGGATTGTTCCTCGAGATCTGTCCGAACAACTTAAGGATTATTTGACTCGAGAGTGTCCAAAGGTTTTCAAGACTTGGGGATTGTTCCTCGAGGTTTGGCTGACCTAAGGTAGTATCAGGTTTGTTCTTTTTTGAGGTTTATTTAACCTATGAGGGTTTCAAGATTTTCGAGGCTTAAGAATTGCTTTCTTGCGATTTATTTCAAGCTAAGAGGGTTTTAGGGTTTTCAGGACTCGAGGTTTGTTTGACTTGAATGACTATCGCAGTTTTGGAACTTGAGGTTCGTTTGATTTGAGAGAATCGCAAGGTTTTCGAGACTTAATAATTGATTTTCAAGGTTTGTTTAACCTCAGAGAAACTTAGGAGTTTTGGGATTCGAAGTTTATTTGACTTGAGATAATCTTATGTTGCATTTAGTGTGCAGGAATGGAATGGAATACCCATTTTAATCATTCATTTGTTTGGTATGCAGTTTAAAGTGAGAATAATCATTCCATTAGAATGAAAATCCATTCTACAAACTAAACATATGGAATATACATTCTATTCCTAAGTCATTTTTTTTTTTTTTTTTTTTTAAGTTCCCAAAAAACCCTCATGTTCAAAGTCTAAAAACACCACCACCGCTACCACTACTTTTGTAATACCCTTATTTTCTGGAGATTTATTTAAGTATTTTAATTACATTTTTATTTAATTATGTGACTATTTGATTATTTGCTTTTATATTTAATTATGTGATTATTTTATTATTTGTTTTTAGTTATTTTATTTATTTTTATTTTGTTTAATTTAAATTTATTGGTATGGCTAATTGTTTATGTGCATTCTTTTAATTGATTTCATGTGTGATGTGTTTACTTAATTAAATGGTTTTTAAATGCTTAATTATTTAGTTAAATGGATTGTTTATTTTATTTTTAAAGGTTTTGGTTTGTTTATTTTATTTTATTTTATTTTTAAAGGTTATGGAAATTAATGAGTTTATTCAAAGGATTTATTATTCCATTTAACGATATTATTTCTTTATTAGCCATCTTTTTGTATTATGTGTTCGTTATAAAATATTAATTATTTAGATATCCCTCGGTTTTGTGCGCAGACTTGATTAACCCGTGTTTCCGGATCGAGGGGTATCACAACTTTCCACCACCTCCTTCCACCATAACCACCACCAACTCCATTGTCTTCCACTACCACCACCTCCACTACATTCCACCACCGTCACTACCATTGCAACCATTGTTGTTGCCTTCAACCACCACATCACCACCACCTCCACTGCCTTCTACCATCGCTATTTCCACCGTGCCACCACCATCACCGACTTCCGCCACTGCCACCACCTTCCACCATTGGTACCTTCGACCACTGCCACCAACTTCCATCATTACTAATGCCTTCCACCACCACTGTCACTTTCACTGCCTTCCACCACCATCATCACATCCACGACTATCGCCTCATTCTACCACCACCACCACACTGTCACCGCCACCTCCACCATTGCAGACATCATACTGCCTTGCACCACCTGACCTCTATTGCCTTCCACTACCATCACTATCGTCACCTCCACTTCCTTCCACCACTACCACCTACACCATTGCCGTCTTACACCACTGCCTTCAACCATTATCACCTGCACCACTGACGCTTTCCACCACTACCACAACTGTTTCCACCATCGCCACCGCTTTCTACTAACACCATTGCCACCTTCCGCCACCACCACTGCCGCCGCCTTCTACCACTGCTGTCATTTATTTTAAACAAATAACAGAAAACTATTATTTTATTTGTTTAGTTTATTTGTCACTAAGAGAGTATTTTAGATAATTCAATTTGAAATTCATTTCATTCTAAATTTTAAATTGATCCAACCAAACACTAGAATTATTATTATCATTCAATTCCTACATGTTTCATATTTGTAACCAAATAATAGAAAGAGAAAGACCATTCCATTCCATTTTCATTTTTATTCTATTCTTACTTGCAATCCATTCTATTTCTGCATGCCAAACGTAGCATTAAGGTTTTCGAGACTGGAGGATTGGTTTTCGAGATTTGTTTGACTTGAGAGAATCTCAGGTTTTCGGGACTCGAGCTTTGATTATTAAGGTTTGTTTGACCACAGAAAATCTTAGGTTTTAGGAGACTGGAGGATTGATTATCGAGATTTGTTTGATTTGAGAGAATCTCAGAATTTTTCACAACTTGAGGGTTGGTTCTCGAGGTTTATTTGACTTGAGGGAGTCTTACGTGTTTTTTTTTTTTTTTTTAGCTTTGCCTTTGTCGTATTGATAAAATATATTTTCCAAGGTGTTTATCTTTTGCTAATGTGGATTCCACATAAGGCGGTGTGTGGCTACACCCATAACAATACATCTTCAAATTTTATTAGATAAATTTTATTGACATCTCCTGAGATTTGGACCATTCAAAGTATATATATATATATTGACCCTCCTAAAACTTATTTGAACGCTTGAAAGTGACCCACCAAATTTATGTAAGTTCAAAAAAATAAACGTTAAATCTATATATAATTTATCCAAACCTAATGAAAGGTCAGTGTTTTTGACATAATACAATACTATCATTTGTCGAGCATGAAATTATAAACATACGTTACGACTCCGTTTGTTTAGATGTAAAATATTTTTTTATTTTTTGATATTTAATTGTCCTAAAATATTTATGAAAATAAATACTCATCTATTGTTGGTAATTTATTTTACATACCCTAGTAGATGGATTCAACCTAAACTTTTACTAAACACCTAATATATATAATTTTTTTAAAAAAAATTTTACCCAAAAAAGAAAAATATTTTTGGAGAAAATTATTTCACGTTTGTTTGCCTACATGTACTCCAAATTTTAACCGGTAATCGAATTTGTTCTGCTTCCTATGTACTCTGGCGAACTAATTGGCTCAGACACGCACACAAACGACGACGAAGAAGCTTATTCCCTTTTACAGAGAGAGATCGAGGAATAGAATTTCAATAGCAGAGAATCTGTATTCCGAGATAAAATTGAAAAGAATAGATCAATGGAAGAAACCCTATACGAACATAGAAATTCTCTAGCAGCTCCTTTCATCTTCTTCATCGTCACTGTCTTCCAATTCCTCTCCGGACACATAGAACACAAAAAGAAGGTACCTTTTTCCGATTCATCGATTAGGGTTTACGTTATTGGAATCTATATAGTTTATACGCTACACTATTTTCCAATTTTAAATTTCTCTATGATTTAATTTGTTCGAAAATTGCAGTTCATTGTTCGCATTTGGAATATCTTTATGAAAAATTCTTTGTGCTTTCGTATTTTGTCTCAGAGTGGAGCTGTGACTGATGAGGAAATTCGATTGCGGACGGAAATCAAGCAACATTACAAGGAGGCGAGCTTATTCACACAGTGCGTGATTCTTATGATATTGCTGAATTCACATTGTGGGATTTTGGAATTATATGCTTTCTTGTGTGAATGGTCTCAGAATATAGATGTTTCATTTCGAATTTTATGTTTTGGCGAAAGAATTCCTTAAACATACACCTATTCCGAAACATGTAAAGCATCTAAATTTATGTTGTTATCAGAATTGCTCTTATTGGAAGAATTTAGCTAGGAGGCGCCAAGTTCATAGTTAATTGTAGATTGATTAGTTACATTGAATTCTTGTTTCAATATTGAAATCATCTAGTGACCGGAGTGCTAAGTGATAATGATTTTGATGTGTCGTGGTTTAATTTAACCCTTTAGTTCTCAAGCACACAGGTGAAAAGAAAGTGTGGAATTCTGAGAAGATGATTTTATTTTCAATATCTCTACACATGGTACAAAATATGAGCTATTGTTTTTTTGGTTCTTGGTTGATTACAGGCCTTCAACATTTGCACAAGCTGCAAAACTTAGGAGGATGGCAGCAGCAAAGGAAAGAGAAATTACAAAGAGTATGTGATCTCATCTAAAAGAATATATTTTGAGGCTCTTATTATTATTGTTATTATTTTTAGTTTTCCTGTGTGTAGCATGTAAAAAGCTGTACTGAAGACATGAATTGGTTCATCATTTTTATGGTGAAAGTTTCGAGCACTTGATGATTGAAATGACAACTAAATGGAAAGGAGGAAACTGATGCAGGCTTTTATCTTTAAGTTGAGCATGGAATCTATGTAGATTTGATGATAATTGAATGGAAAAATGTAAGATGTAGTGATAGCTAAAGGGAAATTGAATGAAAATTGATGACAATAATTGTCCATTAAAAAATAAAAAGGCTAGCCACCGCCTTTGTGGGTCTAGGGAGGTTAGATGTACACAATCTTATCTTTGCATTCATATATGTTGTTTCCTGTTTCGAACCCATGACCTCTAGGCCATAATGGAGCAACCTCTCCAATGCACCAAGGCCCACACTCAATTGTATTTATATATCATTTATATCAAATTAAGAACTATTAGCATTAATTGTATAGATACCTACCAAAGAATAATTCTATAACAAATTGTATAAACATACAAATGGTCGTAAGTCACTTTTAACTGAACCTAAAACGAAGGATGGTGAGAATTGAATGGATAGTTGGAAATTGTTGTGGCATGCCAATCAATTGCTTGGAAAGGAAAAAAAAAAAAAGTAAAAAGAAAAAAAAAAAAAAGAAAGAAAGAAAGAAAGAAAGAAAGAAAGAAAGAAGAAATGGTTGAATATTTTAAAGTAGGGTGCAAGTTTAACATGGACTTCACTCAAAAAACTTAAGGGCTTTATTTGTGACTGAATAAAGGGGCCTCATGTTTAGTTGGTTGAGGCTTTTCCCATGAGTCTTGATAACCCTAGTGCACCTTTTAGGCATTGGCGTGCCTTTAGCACATAGTTAGTTTATCATATTTGAAGTTTGTTGATGTGAGTTTCGTTTACGTAATAATGAGGCATTACCCGTAATATAGAAGAGGTCCAGAGTGGACTGAGTGAGGTGAAAGCCAGGCAAACTTGAGAGAGAGAAAGAGAAGATGGCAATGTGAAAGCACCATTGACTCCCTTAGTGAAGGTTTAGAGGTAAAAAAAGGGGTGAGAGAACTAGAGAAAGCATTGGTGAGAGAGGGTGTTAGTTATTTTCATTTTTTCCCTCTTCCTTTGTCCTTAGTAGAGTGTCTTTCTATAGGCCAAAAAGTGAGGATGGGTGATGTTATGATGAAGCAATAATATAAGAGTTTAATATAATAAGGAAAAGAAGAAATATATATAAACAAAGTAATAAGAGGCAATTATAGGGTGTAGAGTTGTTAAGTGGGTAATAAGGGGAATTATTTAATGAGATAAAGGGTAATTATTTAATGAGATAAATTATATCAATATGGCCGGGTAAGGTGAGGATAGGATAAATAGGAGTCAAATTGTCTTTCTCTCTCTACAAGTCAGGTTAAGGGTCAGCTTGACGAGCCCTAGACTTCAGCCACCAAACCAAATACCTCCTCGGATCCCAAAAATCACTAGTCCTGCTCCCAACTCAGGTCTTCAAGTCTTTGGTATTCTATTTGAGGTTTATTGATGACGTATGTCCAATGTAACTTGCGCGTTGACCACTTGACTTTTAGCTAAGTGGGCCATTATTGCTGATGTGGCAAGAGCCACTTGGGGCACGCATATTGGGTATCTACAAAGTTTACATTGGCATGGATAATATGTTGTTTTTTTCTTATTGAAAAAAAAAAAAGAACAAAAAGTTGATGATTCAAGGAAATGCCGTTAGCCCAAAGGCCTTTTAAATATGAGGCATTCTTGCTTTGTTACCTTCTGTAAAGATGATATTACCCACTTATAAAACTGCTCAATGCGTGGCCTACAACCCCGTTCAACACTATATAATTTGACCCTACTGTGGTAACTTCTGAAGGTGCAAGGGTCTTTGAAGTTCCTTCTCAGTTTAACAACATGTCTTCATCTATTTCTGAGCAGATTCTTTGTCTGGAATATGTGCATAGAGTTTTCAAATCCATTACCAATTGTTGGTCCCCCAATGTGGAATGCTGGGAGGGATCTACTAGAGGCATTGTCTGCATTGATGAAGTGGTTTTTCTCAACTTGAACATGTATTTTGACGTCTGGCTGCCTGAGCTTTCATCACTACACCTAGCAATATCCCTAACATGTTTATGTTGGGTTATTACTGGGTTAGGTTTATTCCACTAATTGTTATAAAATTGTGTCTTGCGTCATCTAGTGTTGGGCTCTTTACATTCACAAAGGACTGCTTAAGAAGAAAGCTTGAATTTTGTATCATCCTGAGGGAGAGGCTTTTGCCTTGAAGGAACTCTGTTGGTGGCCCTCTCACTCTTAACAATTCAAACAATTGTTCTGACGCTTGGTAGCCTGGGTGTTTATGATTTAGGCCAAGCATTGGTTGCTAATGTGTGCATATTAAGTTATTTTTAGTCATCAAAGTAGGTTAACTTTACTACAATAGCTGTAATTAAATTAAGCGCCTTGCTGTTACAAGTCATCTAGAGTTTGGCACTTCTTTTTTTACAAAAGAGTAATTGTGAAGAAAGACTAAGTTATTATTTCCCAGCGGGAGGCTTTCACCCTGAATGCTCTTTGAAGTTTGAACGTAAAGGTAGTAATCCATGTTTTTTGACCATGAATCATCAACCTTGAACTTTTCTGTAAGAGACTGTATGAATATGATGGAGCCACCAATGGCCTGGAAGGAGGCCAAAAACCCATGCCAAGATTGTAAAGATGACCTCACAATTGTAACTAGTGAAGGTCAAGTGTTTTTTTTTTCCAGTCTTAAGATTTATTTTCTCATGTATTTGAGATCTTTTTCTTTCTCGGGAGGTTACATTTTTAGATACTAAAAAATAAAAAAGGTTAAGTTTATTTCAAGAGAAGGTTACCGTTCACCTTTTATTCATATAATATAAATATACGCTACATGCATGCACATGCACATCCATGCCGTTCCTCACTACCAACGCAAACCTCTCTTTCAACCCCACACACACATATACAAAAGAAAACAGATCCTATTCAAACAACATGAGGTATTCTTGCTCAAGCGTATGTATCATCTTCCTTTCCCTTGGGCCTCAAGAAGAATACTTGGTTTTATGGTCACTGTCTCTAAGTAACACAACTCCTCACTCAGATTCAACTGTCTTTCTTTGCCAGTAGAGGTGGTTACAACCTCCCTGTTGGGTAATTTATTTCATTCAACTTAAGTCAGATCAATATTGTCAGCACATATAAATCTTATGATAGTGCTCCTTGTGACCATTAATCTCGTTTTCAGGTAGTTTTGAGAGAGGGAGGAAAGAAAGAAAATTGCAATATACCAGCTTTCATGCTTCCATTTAAGGTATTAATCCCTAACTAATAAAGTTCACATGCACGTAGCACTACATTACAGGAAAACGAAATTAACTAGTTAATCCCTCTTGTCAATCAAAATCTCAAACCCATTGTCATGCCGCAATTCACACCTTAAATCCTGCACTTGTAATTGCCCATATATTGCTTGAAAATCTCAGGATTCCCAATCTGTATTTTCAATAGCTAATTTTTAGTCTATTCCCGTGATGCCAAGCTCTTAATTTTGTCATCTAAATGTATCTCAAGTTTCTTTGAGTTGGCTGTCCTACATCATACTAGAAGATTTTGTACCATATAGAGAGACACATTACATGTTTACGTGTCAAATTGTCGATACATTATACCCTGTTTTCAAGTCAATAGCCCTTTCTCTCTGCAATTGTGATCACATTTTTCCTTCCTGTAATTTATTTGTTTCCTGCTTTTTTTTTTTTTTTTTTTTTTTGCTTCTGCATTTTTAAGGTGCCTAATATAATAGAAACTAACAGATTTGCATAACTTGCAGTTCAAGAATTGCACAGCAAGGAGATAATTTCATCATATGATTCATACCTGAAAGTTCTAATGATATCAAAGGTGGTCCCGGGGAATATTTTGATAATTAATAATAAGCTTGTTTCATTCCAATTTCCATATGGTTCTGAAAAAGTTTATTCATGTGGTTGACTACAGGTCATTCTATATTTTATTCTTATTTGCTGGTTTTGGCATGCTCCTGTGGCCGCTATATCCGAGCAACTTGTGCAACCCTTTGGTAATGAATTTGTCCCTAGTAGTTTAATTAGTAATTGAGAATAGTTTCTTCTCCCCTGCGCCCGCTTTCTCTTTTATTTCTGACTTGTTATCAACTTAAAAAAAAAAAAAAAATCCTCTTACTCACTGCCTCCATATGTTGCTTTTCTTACTTTGCTAGGTAATTTATGAATTAAGTTCTAAATTAAGGAGTTATTCGTGGAATTTTTGTTAAGGAAATATTTTGGGAAGCTACTGCAGTGTTGATTCGATTTACCTCCTCCATTGCAGGAAAGATGTTATCTTGGAGAGCTGGAGGTTCTCTGAAGAATAATGTTATGGTAAATAAATTGAGACACTTTCCTTTTTTAATTATACTGTGTGGTGTTCTTCAACAAAGGAAACCTTAAGTAAAGAAAACTTGTGCTCTTCCACGAGTTACTTAGGTAGACTGAAAATTTAAGTGTGGTCCATGTCTTATAACCAGGCAAGCAACGATTGATCTAATTTATGGCGCCGGTAGATATTCAAGACAATAACCAGACATATACCCCTTTCGTCACACTCACTTACCCACTCAAAAAGAATGAAAAGGAAAAACAAAAAGATTTTGTCCAAGAAATCATATTGTTGTCGGTCCGAGACACCCGAACAAACAATGCTTGAAGCCTTATTAATGGGTGCCAAGTCTGTTCTGATTTTAGTGCTTCTAGACCCTCTTCATTGGACCATGATCTATAAGCGTGGTACAAAAAATATATAGCTTGGAGGAACTCAATTTTTCTTGATCTACTTGATGCTTGTGTGCCAATATAAATGTCATGGAACAATGAGCGTAACATTCCGGTTCAGTCTTTATACCGACACACACATCATGAAAACCAAATCATTGCAAAATGCATAGTCATCAGACATTTCACATTCCTGGTGGTTTCTGAGGCATCTGAACATCTGTCTATTTCAATGCAGGTTGGGATCATACCTTGGTTGATCGTATCAACCAGGGTGAGCAAATTTATATGTCGGAAATTCATCAACTAGAAGGAGGATTTTCTTTACTCTCCCAAATCAAGAAGAATATAAAAGCAACCTCCTATAGGATAAAGGCAGGGATGATGATGGTAAAAGCAACCTCCTTTACTTTCCTCTTTAGTCTCTTGTAAACTTATTCTTTATATTTATCAGCCAAAAAAATAATGTAAAGGAACTATAGAATTGATATGAGATTGTATCTGATGGATTTAGATTGCTTTAATCTTCATTTGCATTTTAATTTATTTTGGCATTTGTGTATTAGATGGTATACATGTTGGTTTAAATTTGTCATTGAACTTGATTTTTAACTTATACATACGCGCGTGCACACACACGCACACAAGGGCAAACCCAATGTATGAGGCTCCGACCATTGCGTGGTCTGGGGAGGGTAAGATGTACGCAGTCTTACCTTTGCATGCAGATGGTTGTTTCCTTGTTTTGAACCCATGACCTCTAGGTTAAAATGGAGCAACCTTACCGTTAGCTCAAGATATCCATGGTATCGGTGGAGGTTCAATTCCCTGTAAGGGCACAGTGGATGTGTGAGCTGCTATAGTTGCCAAAGATGATTCTCAATTGGATGGGTATGGCTGTGTTACGTGAGCTGTGCAATTTTATGTTGCTATATGATCCAGATAAATGATTGAAAAATTCTGAAGATGCGATTGTAAGATCTAAAAGGAGCACCAGAGTCACTTTGGTGTTTGATGATGATCCTATTGTTTCTCAGGAGTGCTGCACTTTTGGAAGCTTTTACGTGCAATTTTAGGATCTGATTCTAAAGGGAAAAAGTCCCCCATTCAAGGTAAATCGTTACATATCATAGGGCTCTTTGAGTGCCTCAATTGACACAGTTGCAAGAAACTATATAGATGAGGTGGTTGCAGGTTAAGCATCTTGGTTCTAACTAGGTTTGCATTCAAATCAAGAATTGTATCAAGAATCGTTGGATTGACCCTTGTTCGAGCTCAGTTGTGAAGTTGATGCTACTGACAAATTCATCTTGTTTTGGTTGTTTAGCTAATAAGCCCAAAAACTCAAACTTCAGCTCATTCTTGAATCCTATCCAAGTTCAAGCTTAACATAAAGGGCTAGTCTAGTGCATAAGGTCCTCGCAACTGTGGGTTTTGGGGAGGGTACATTTACACAACCTTACAATTTGTGTGGTCCGGAGAGGGTCGATGCACGCAACCTTACTTTTGTTTGCGGAGAAGTATTTTGAATCCGTGACCTCCAAGTCATAATGGACACAACGTTATCATTGCGGCAAGGTCTGCCCCTCAACCTCAAGCCGAATCACAATTTCCCTTCCATTGTCGTGCAAATATGCACACAACCACATTAAGAGAAACAAGTTGTTCTGTTCAAACTTTGGAAAGTTTTCTCAAAACAAACCAATGAAGTAGTACTGTTTATTCTCCTCCTCACAATTACACCATATAAATTACATTATATATTTGCAATACTTTCATGGATGGGTAAAAAATAAACAATGCAACAATAAGATTGATTATAGCTCAGCATTAAAACCATGATTCACAACAGTGGCTTTAGAGTCCAAATAAACTACCTAATAAAAGAAGAAGGAAAAAAAAAAAAAAAAATCTAAATTCCAAATCCTCCCATTCCAAATCCAAGATGCCGATTCAGTGCTCCCAAGGTTAAATCTTTTCATTCGTGTGATTGGCCTCAAAACCTCGAGAACTATTGTTAATTATTCCGTCAGTTCTAAGGCCAAGTGTAAGTTTGAGCTCAAAACCTGGAGAACCATCGTTGATTGTTCCATCAGTTCCAAGTGTAAGAGGCTGCTCAGAACTTGGAGAACCATTGTTGATTGTTGCATCAGTTCCAACTGTAAGAGGCTGCTCAAAACCTGGAGAACCGTTGTTGATTGTTCCATCAGTTCCAAGTGTAAGAGGCTGCTCCGGAAATAACCGCAGTTCAGTATTGACATTGTCATTGGTACCTGCAGCTTCAGCACTCTGAAAAAACTGCAGGTAATTGTAAGTTTTCGTCGAATTATCTTCGGTTTCGGTTTCTTCCAACATCTCACCGGACCACAATGGAACAGCATTGATCTTGTCAATAAAATTTCTAGTTCTTCCATCACCATCCACACTGTAATTCAATGGCCAAACCGGAAAAGCTGCTCGAGGATATAACATAATCATCGGATTAACAAACCCCAACGCCACAATCTGCTGTGGTTGCTGAGCCTCATGCACCATCCCATGGTAGTTGTACCCAAAATTATATAATGGTCTTTGATTAGATGATGATGGTGGACACAATTCATTGCCCATTGCAGTGTTTTGCTCCACAATTTCTTCACTATTTGATGGTAAATCCAATCGGAGGCAATTAGGGTTTTTTAGCTCATCACATGCAGTTTTTAGCAATGACACAATTGTTGAGTCCTCTGCATCCTTTAACTCATACTTTGATCCACCCAACATAAACTCAAGTCTTGTTTCTATTGACTCTATCTTCAACTCTAACAATCTCAATAATTCTTCTGCGGATTCTTTTGACAACCCTTTAAACCAATTCACGTCCCAATTCCTTAACTTATTGGAATTCTCCTTCTTTGCCTCGTCATTAGGATCATGTAGGGTTGTAAGATTGCTCCACGGTGACCTGGAAGACTCTTTAAGTGACCTAAACGACTCTCCGTGTGGAGGTAAAGTTTTATCACATCCTGCAACGACGGGAGTCTCGTGCATTGGACTAACCCTAACCTTAGCCCTTTTCTTTACCCGATCGTCGTGGTCGTCATGAATCTCCTCCTCAATTATGAGGGCCTTCCTTTTGCCCTGAGTTTTCTCTCTCTGGTACTCTTTGTTCATCTCGATAATGTCTTTCACGTCGGCTGGATTCTTCGGCCATGTCTCGACCTCGCCGCCCGGCCGGAAAACTACTAAGAGAACTGCAACGCCGCACAATATGGCGAGCTCCATTGCTTTCTTCATTATGCATTCCTTCCTTTTCTTGAAGGTCTGTCTTCGAGATCTGTTGTCTTCAAGAGGCTTGATGGATCGAGCCCGTACTTTTTTCCCATTGGTCTCCATAATATGGAACTTTCTTATATACAATATGTATACACACACATATATTTATCAACTCTTTCGAAAAACCAACAATTTGGTTGGAGAAGTTATGTGCATGTATATATACTTGAAAAGAGATTCAGGGAAGGATTGGATCTCTGCTGTTGCGAGTGAAGGGTTAAATTTGGTGCTTCTTTCTTATTGGTTAGTGCATCGGACCTTTCCATTACTGGAAAGAATTTTAATGCATGTATATAATATATGCTTATAAGTATATTACTTGAGAAGAAATTCAAATCGTATGTAGTTTAATTTTAGGCAGCTTCTTTTTCATTTTTAGTTTCCTTTTTTGCTGTTTCCTTATTAGGTTTTTTTCTATTATAAATATACTTGACCAAAATTAACCATTTTGATTATTGTTCTGTAATTTTTGGTTGGTAGGTTTTTTATATTAAGTTTTCTCTATTACAAATATAGCAAAATTAATATTTTGATTATTATTATATAATTTTTGGTTTTTGCTGGTTTTTTTTTTTTTTTTTTCACTGTATATGAAAGTTTAGAAATCTACTTCCTGACTCCGGAGTGATTTGAAGGATTTCTCTATTACAAATAAACTTGAGCAAGATTAATCATTTTGATTATTGTTCTATAATTTTTGGTTTTTTTTTTTTTTAACGGTATATGTACGTTTAGAAATCTATTTCGTGAGTGATATGAAAACTATATATATAAAAGGAGACGAGTATAGAAAGACTTTTGGGGGTCTTCTAACTAGAGTAATAGGAGGACTTTAGGAGTATTTAGTAAGACGGTGTCGTTTAAGGATGTCAAAAGTCTTCAACATTCCAAATTTTTCCAAGATATGAATAATTTGGACAGGTATGTAACTATAGAAATAATTTTTTTGTTTTTAGGTGGCTTTTTATAAACTCAGTTATAAAAATGTATATTTTTAGAGAAATATAAAAGATTGTTATTTGAGGACACTTTTATGAATTCTTGAAAACTGTTTTCTTAGCCAAACATGCCATCTTCTCGGTGGTGGCCTTGGCTTCTTCTATGTTCTGGAAATTTCGTGAGGCTGGTTGTCTCAATCCTCGCCCTTGCTAAATAACATCAAGTGTAATGTGGATGCCTACTAGAGGAGGTGGTGGGGCGGTGCTTCGTGATCCTTCAGATATAGTTTAGAAGGCGATTGTTTTTGGTCAATTTGGGGCTACTAGTGCAACAATGGCTGAGGCCGTTTGTTTGCGATCCGCGATTGAATATTGGGCATCTCAGGCTCACTTTCACCATGTGTGGTTTGAAACAGATTCTTTTGAGTATTCATGATGCCATTATCAACGCAGCCCATTTGTGCAATGGAATATTCTGGCAATCGTCAAAGGTTAGCCATGTGGGGCCAAAGAGTTGGCCAATGCTATGGTTAAACTCTCCAAAAGCAAAGTCAAGTGTGTTGTGGAGTAAAGTTCATCCTTGACAAATTTGGATCTCTTTAGGTTTATGCTGTGTTCGGTATGTATGCAGGTAGGGGTGTGGAGAGATAATAGAAAGGAATGAACAAATTTCTACAAAGAAAGAAAGGAGAATAGGAAGGATGAGTCATCATTCTTTATAAATTTTTATCCGCTAAAAAATGAATGGAATAAAGGAATGAAAGAATGAAGAGGTGTGGAGAGAAGATAGGAAGGAATGAATGATCTTCTACAAGGAAAGAAAGGAGGATAGGAAGGATGAGTCATCCTCCTTTACAAATTTTCATCCGCTTAAAAAATGAATAAAATAAAGGAAGGAGGGAATGAAGAGGTGTGGAGAGAAAATAGGAAGGAATGAACGGACTTCTACAAGGAAAGAAAGGAGAATATGAAATAACCTTCTACAAGGAAAAAAAGGAGAATAGGAAGGATGAGTCATCCTCCTGTACAAATTTTCATCTGTTAAAAAATGAATGGAATAAAGGAAGGAAGGAATGAAGAGGTGTGGAGAGAAAATAGGAAGGATTGAACGAACTTTTACAAGGAAAGAAAGGAGAATAAGGAGGATGAGTCATCTTCCTTTACAAATTTTCATCCGTTAAAAAATGAATGGAATAAATGAAGGAAGTTAAGTAGACTATTATAGAAGTTTATATAGTAAATCATTAAAACTTTATATTTCCTTCCTTCTTAACTAACATAGTAAAGAATAGG